TCATAACACTTACTCTCCATTTGAAGCACAATTTCTTGAAGCAGGTCCTCAGGGCTTTTGTCACCTATCTCTAGTACTGAGTGGGTGACAGTTGAAGCGGACTGCATTTGGTCCCATTCGGACAAAAACTGATTGAGTTTCATTTTGTAGTCATTCACATCAGGGCCATCTGGATAACCTGAGTCCCAATGAGCAACACAAAAAGGAGAAGGAGTTGAAGAACAAAAGTTTGTTTTACGTCAATGCGCTTAAATACAATAAGGTCGATGGGGTTTGACATAACACAATATAATACAAGTGCCTCACCTTCCTTTTTGACTATTTCAGTATTTGCAGGGCTGGTGATGTCAGGTTGTTCAGGACTTTCTACAAAGGAAATGAATGAATGCTTTGAAAAAGTTCTGGCCAAACTACAGGTTCAGGGAGGCTTTGTGAATGTAGGCTTCGCAGACAGATGTATGATACCTTCAGTGTCTTCACTAACTGTCTCTAGATTTGTTTGCAACCCTGCAGGCATGGCCTCTTCCTCTTCTGGCTGTTTATTGGTTCTAATATTTAGAGAAATGAAGAACAAAAGCTGCATGAACAGTCAATTTCAGATTAAACATCAAATTTGACATGCACCTGCACTCACAAGGCCGGTTTCTCCTTCTCAGATTGTTCGTCCTGCAATCTCGTCCCGAATGTTTCGTCCACGCTTTGCTTGTTCGCCTCATACAATCGCTTAAAAACTGTAAAACAATGAAGTGCAATGGTACATAAACACTGATGGTATTGATATGGACTCAAGTCTAATGAAACTTGTTCGTGATGCATTGTGTCTGTGCCTTGTACCCTGACTGCCATCACTGTCTTTGAGACAGAAGAGGAGGTCTGGCAGTATTCCAGCGTGCTGTAAGGCATTCATTTGGGACACGTTCTTGGGAAAGTTGTCAAGCACCCATCCAGCCCTGACATCCGTACCAGCGCCAGCCTCTTCAGTCTGCAACATCAGAGATATTAACAACACCACTGCAAACTTTATTCAGATGTTTAATAAATGATTAGTGATATGGTTTGAACCGTTACATCATTTATATGAATGGTTAACATTTCTATTAAATATATCTCTTACAAATAACTTAAATATATTTGACAACAACATTCACAGAAATATAAAGAAGGCATGGCCATACAGTAGTTTAAAACCAAAAGCTGTAATTGCAGCTGCTATGTTTGAGATGACATACCTCATTTATGCGCTTCTCCAGAACCTCACCATACAGACTCAAGGGAGATGTGCTCATATGTTTGGCTTCTTCCAGCGCAGTGAGCACCAAGGCTTGTACCTCTGGATGATCCTCTGTCACTGGGAACAGCAGAAAACATTTGCAAACTTAATCTCTCAAACTGAAATCCAAAACACACAACACAGCGTTACCAGACCACCAATTGTGATGTGTACAGTTCTTATTAAGATTGAAAAATGCACAAGTTATCCATGTGTATTTGTCTGCATGTGAGAAAGATCATCTTACCTTCAGTAGAATTGGTTTCAACTGATGAAATAAAAATATTTAAAACATTAACATGACAGTACAAGTCTCAACAACTACAAATATTTAAATAACGATTTATACTTTCAAGAGCTGATGTGTGAAATAATATTTGTAAGTAAAATAGTTAAAAAAAGTATGATGATGATAGCGAAAAACCTCAGTATCAAGGCACTCAACTTGCCTGAATTCTGCTCCATCTTCATCTTGATTTTCTCTAGAGCGACCTGTGTTGTTTCCTCTTTGATTTTATCAAGCCTCTCTTGCTCAACCTTAGCCAGAACCGGTTGCACCAAAGCCTCCATATCAAGCACCAATGCATTGTAGTGCTGAGCTAAAAGCTTACATAGAGTGCTTTTCCCTGCCAGGGGAGGACCAATTATAGAAACTCTGCAAGGGGGCCTTGGCATCGGAGGAAGTAAGTACCGTCGGGGGTTCTTAAAAAACTTCTGGTAAGCCTCCTGAGATGAGAGGACGTACATTTTGTCCTGGAAGCTGCACAGGAGTTAAATGGAGAGTTGGTTGAAATGGATAGTCTTTCTTGTAGATTCCCAACTGGCTAGTGCCTAAAAAAGATCCCTTACCCCACACATAAATCAGGCTTGCCAAGAATGACCTTGCCTTCACTCAGAGCAACAGGACAAGTTTGGCCCCAACGACTTCTTCTCCATCTGAAGCCAGGGGCCACTGTCCGGGTAGAGGACATCATTCTCATTAGGTCCTCCTGGAAAATCATGTTTAATTATTGCCCGTGTGTTAATAGCTCAAATGTAGATTGTATAAAATAAATTAAATTATGAATATGATCAACAATGCCGGACCGTGTCAACTTCCTCCGGTATTTCTTCATCATCAGCCTGATGGAGGAGTACTGGAATTGAGACATTCTTGATTGCCATGGATCCAAGATGTGACATCACAGACTAGACACAAAAACAATTTAGCCAACAATATACATGGTGAGTTCAACATAGACATTTATGCTTAGACAAACACAACACAGGCACTTTACAAACTCAGATTCAAGACAGCACCGACTGACATTGCCTGCTATTAAAAAACACACAATCAGTAAAAGAGCGTATGGATATGCATCTTTTTTCTTGCTATTTATCTTGTTTGTAATATTGTAGCTGCAGATGATATATCTATCATTTGTGGTATTACCAAGTGCAGCTCTTCAGATTTGTTTTGTCCATCCAGCTCCAACAGGTAGAGAGGGTTGTGTTCTGTCATGTAGTCCTTACAAAGAAATCAATTGTATATCAGGTTTTCTTTTTATCGGAAATGATATCTAGAATAATACCTCACACATTACCGTTCTGATTTCAACAAAACATGATATGAAATGGGATTGTAAGCTTTCTTTAATGGTATACATCATTAATAAATGCTTTTTGCCCCACCAGAGCTGTCTTAAATGTATCTTGTAAATGCACATAATCAAAGAAAGATAAGTGACATTCTGTTAGAAATGGATGAATTAATATGTGATCCATTGAGAAAACTGGGAGCCCTGGCTAACTTACCTCCAGTGGTCTGAGCATCGTATCTTTGTACATGTTGATTCTATGTAAAGCATTTTTGTCCAAATTCTCGGGTGTCCACACCATTTTGTCAATAATATCCTTTTGAAGTTCTTCACTCCCTGCCTGCAAGCAAACAAAAACAACATATTTGATTAATAGGAAATTATGAAAACGTTCTTTTTTAAGGTTTGAACATAATAGTGTTTTCCCTGAAGTCACACCTGCTTTTCATCCTCCTCATCCTCCTCATCCTCCCCTTCCTCATCTGTGTTCTCTTTATTCTTGCTAAACACATCCTTACGCATCCACTGATCCCTGTTGAACAGCTGCCCTGTCTCCGGGTGCTGCTTCAGACCTGACAGCCGTCGGGCAAGGTCTTTGTCTGCACACTGGTGGAATATTGAAGTGTGATACAAATCTCATATACTGTACGCAAAACATTTTCAGAAAACAAATGAAAGGTTTATTCAAATGTGTACACATTGTTGCTTCATGCATGAACAACTCAAAGTAGAAAACATGTGGATAACCTTGATGTTGATGATGAAATCAGGAGTAAGCTTGAGGTTTTTGATCAGCTCAAGCTGCTCATGAATCTTCAGACACTCTTCTGACATGAATGGCAGGCAGCTCAGGACATAACCTGTATCACAACACTTGTTATTAGGTGATAGAGCTCAAATAATGGACTCAAAAAATGTGCAATTTGCATTTAGTGACCCCTATTACCATAGTGCTCAACATCTGCTGAGTTAAGCCTGGTGAGAAGCAGCTGGAGCACCATGTCTTCTGGCACACTTCTCCCCTCAGATAAGATATTTAAGAGCTAAGACAGTCAGAAGAAAATCGATTCATATTATAGACCATACAAAAATGTAAATGAAAAACACATGACATTGGAAAGATCAGTTTTCCTTTCTGTCTTATGACTGAGAAAGTTATACTTACCTCTATGCCTTCATTTGTTTTATTTATAATGTGTGTGTTGAGCAGATCTGTATCTGAAATATTAGAAAAGCTGGTGATATCTTAACTCTTTTGGGACAAAGACCAGAAATGGTATCAAGCAATTGTACTTACCATCTATCAAGATGCATTTCCAGGATTCTGCTATTCTTCTGGCTAAAGAGGATTTGCCCACACCCTGTCACAGAGAAAGGCACATAATTGAAGTCACTGGTTTATGTGACACTGTAAAGAAGAAAATACTGTGGTTGTGGTTGTGTGTGTGGTTGTGGTTGTGTGTGTGTGTGTGTGTGTGTGTGTGTGTGTGTGTGTGTGTGTGTGTGTGTGTGTATTGGTGTGTTTGTGTGCATGTCAGTAACATAAGGGGACATTACCGGTCTTCCAACTATGATAAAGCAGGTAGGTTTTGCAAGAAGTGTCTCTCTCTCAGCTTCATCTTCTATCAGGTTGTCCACCAGACGGTCAACTTCAGCGTAGTAAATATCGATGCACGGTTAATTAAGTCATAAACAACAGTCAGCTTCTCCTTAAACCTAGATATTCGTTAACATGTCATGTTTCGACAGATGAGGCTGCTACTTACCATGTTTTTGTGGCATTCTGATATCCACTTTTCCTGTTTATCTGTTTAAACTTGTATCATCTATATTACCTTTTACGTTTGCTATCCAAGGTTAATAGTCAACGGTAACCCTAGTAACCGTTAACAAACTACTTGGGAGAAGGGGGGTTGACTTTCTACATTGTAAGGAGCTAATGCTAGTGCTAGCTACTTTATGGTTACTTCAAAGTACGTTTTGTCGCTTTAGGGGTTTGTGTATTTACAGTTAGAAACATTTATAAACAAGTAGGTGCTATCTGCGAGTTGAAGAACACAAAGGCAAAAACGAGCACTTTCATTTAATAATCGCATTTTCAGACATTTAAGTATTTTTGACTCTGCGGGCCACCGTATCAGTTGCCTGAACTATGTCACGACAGTCACCTGACTCAAACAACTCATGTTCTCTTATGTGCTAGCCGTAAATATTGGAGTTTACATTAAAAATAACGAACTAAAAACCTTTAAAAGAGTTATATGTTCTACCAGAGGGTATGCGTGGTTGTCATCTTATCTGGCGAGGATTTGTGGCGAACGCAACTACTTAGCTAGCTAGATTAATTGGTGAGTACTGAGTGACACGCTACTTAGCCACAAAACAGCTCGAAAATATCATGCATACAGTGGCTGGCAGTATGAGGTTTACTTGTGTACACATGGTCTCTTTTGTATTTTATGAAGTGAAGCAAGTGTAGTTTTATATTCGGTTTCCTTCGCCTTGCAGCTCTTCAGTTGTTCCTCCTGGATTGTGATTGGAGAAAACAGGGATAACAATGCCTCAGTCGGCGGCTACCTCGATCAGTGGGATCCAGAAGATGGTTCTGTATGAAACCAGAGCCGTAAGTCTGTCATGATCTATATGCTGTGTTTATCACTGTTTCCTCATGACTTGCTAGATGTCTGATCAGTCTGTTCTTTGGTTACACCTGCTAGTAGCCAACAACAACATCTCTCTAAATTACATCACATGTCCATCAAGTGTTTCCGTCTCTTGGTGCTTCCTGATAATGTTAGAACATAAACCAAGTGCTGAATGTGAAAATGTGTTGGTCACAGGATTGTTACCCTAACAAGCCACTTCCTAATGTGCAGCTTCACTCTTTTTAATCAGTCAGGTCTACACATCCTTTGAACTACCTAACCCCAGTTAGTCCCCCTCATGTTTCATCCTGTGGAAGCACGAGCTGGGGTTAGGAACAACCCAGCACAACCACAGTCAGTGTCCTTGCTAAGGACACTGTTGCACAGTTATTCATTAGGACATACACTATTCTGGACATTTGGATGTTTAAATTGCTCAAACAACCAGACATTCATCACTTGTTATAGGAATATATCGATCCTGCATGCTGAAAATGTGGACTCTAGTGATGGATGACGTTATTTCACTGATGTAATACAGACATGATTGCATTTTTTTTGTATCTTTTTGGAAAAGGTTATATTGCAGAGTGTATAATACCTTTTTGTTTTTTGAATACACATGCATATATGTATTTGTACTTATACTGTATACTGGTTTAACACAACTACACACAACGCCAACACATTTGCATGTATGCAGCCTACATATTTATGTGTGTTTCTGACTCCATATGCCAGCTATCTTCGTGTGACAACTTTGTTACAGCCTTCCCAAACCCTATACAAAAGTATTTATAAACATGAGAACCAGGGGAGCTTACATGTATATTTTACCATCAAGAAGAGGAGAGGAGCATAAGCTTGCATTAGGGTAATACATTTGATCCATTTATTACAAATGTGTTAGAATTTGTCTTTTGCATCCTTAAAGTTTTTTATATTTAAACTATTTTAAAAAGTATCCTGTACCAATCTTCCAACTTAGGTGGTTCTTCTTAAGCCTCTCTCTGCCAAAAAGAACAATTCATTTTTAAAGATGTAAGTCTTACCTTTGAGTGTAATCACCCGTCAGCAAACACTAGATGGCAGCAAAATATTTGCTAGCGAGTATACTTAAGTCTACTTCGATTTCCCATTACTTTAATAGTGTCAATTATAGGATCTAGAGACTCTTGACAGTCCGAATGATTATCATATTTTTGAAAGACAAAATGACCTCCAAATATTTATTTAGTTTCTGACAAGTTAAAATGTATCCTGCTTTCCCTCTTTTCTAATCTGCTGTTGTTGTTTTGTTTGCCAATCCCTTTTTCATAAAAGGTTTCAACAACTTAAAATGATAGAAGGGTTAAATAATTATGTGGTATAATGGTGTGATTGATGGCTTATCAATGGTCGCAAACATGAGACGGTAATAGGAAAACATTTGTCACAGTTGAGCTACCATCATTTCTTATTGCACCTCTGTCAGCCCATTTTATTTAACAGTGGACAAACTGACTGTCTAACTATTCTGGATAAAGAGGGCTCCATAGGATAGTGGGAACAGGACAACATGGCTTTAATAGTTGCAGACTGTACTGATACATGGTGTATCGTTGCAGACTGTGCTGACACATGGTGTATCAATACAGAATGTAATGTTCTTTAGAGGACAGCAAATCATAAGCTATCCAACAGACGAAATGTGAGAAAAATAATGACTTCAGAAAGTCATACAGTACAAGTAAGACACAAATATGTTCCCAAATGTTTTCACAAATGTAGTTGCTATAATCATGGTATATTTTCTCATATATTATTATATGATGCGTATCTATCTTTTAGTCCTTTTATATATAATTTCACAGGCTTTTTAAACATTAATTTCAACCTGGGTGGCTTGTTGTAGAGAGAAAATGCTGACCATTATAGGAAAAAAAGGCCTAAAGAATGGCTTGTAATAACATATGTAAAAACATATTTTGTTCAATGTTCCTAGAAGCAGCTACTGTAGGTAGGCTATATGGCAAACATCAGCTCTGCAGTAATTGATCGTAGTTATAGTGAATTCACGCATTCATGTTTGTCTTTCAGAGGTATTTTTTGGTAGGGACCAATCAGGCCCAGACCAAACATAGAGTCCTGAAGATTGACCGCACAGAACCCAAGGACCTGGTCCTAATTGATGATAAGGTAAGTGCTGTGTTTCCACCAGAATTAGCACAGTGCTAATGTATATGCTTATGTAATACAGTACAGCACGCTTGAGGTACAATTGTACAATCACTCAGCCTTTCCCAAGTGTATTATGGATGACCGAAAAGTTGATTAATGCTGCATGCTCCTCCTTTTCTTTTCTACAACTCATTACCAGGATCTATGAGCTGAGATTTGATTTGTTTATTCGTGTTGTTCGGTGATTATCATTTTGATGTGTTTGTTATTATGAAGCAACCATGAATAAATATCCATCACCCCATGCTCTCATTGCTGCAGATTTAATACTGATCTACAGAAACCCTGTTAGTTTGCATTCGATTGGCATAGCAGAGTGTTTTATAAACAGTGTGTGGAAGCTTGAGATTGAGTAGTCGAGGTGAGCAGGTGCAAAACGCAGCCTCGTCTATCACTCTCTTTCAGTTCATGTGTGGAAAGCTAGCACTCATAATGAACAGGGTGCATGCATAGAACCCTTTATATTAGTGAGATGGATAAAGATTATGTGGCTAGCTGAATGTCAAATAACTTCTTTTGTTTTGCATTCATATGACTCATTGCATATTGCAGATGAATGCATTTAATTCCATATAAAAAACAGACACAAATACATTTAGTATTTTTAGTATAGTGCATGTATAGTTAATGTTTCTGTTGCACCTGTGCTAGAATTATAATTATTATAACACAGATGTTGTTTAATTAGTGCAATATTACAGGAATCATTTGGTTAATCTATGTTTGACTTAATTGCATCTCTTAGGATCAATTTTAAACCATCTTCTAGAAAATGTGGGATCATTGATTGTACAAGGCCTGCTCCTGATTTACTTAAAATTACACAGAAAAGATTGGAGAGGAACCACAAATTTAATTCAGAGCCAGTAACACTTGTAATTACAAATGCTTTATGTGTGTATTTGTTTATGTGTTTGTTTGTAGCATGTGTACAGCCAGCAAGAGGTTCGGGAGTTGCTTGGCCGCCTGGACCTGGGCAACCGCACCAAGATCGGCCAAAAGGGGTCCTCGGGCCTGTCCAGAGCTGTCTCAGCCTTTGGGATTGTGGGTGAGTACAATCCCCCGACCCTCTTCTTCACTGTCATAGCAACAGCGCTTCAAAGCCAAATGATGGCAACAAATACCTCATTTATAGCATTGGTTCTTCTTTGTGTATCGTCCTGGTTAGGCGTACAATAAGTGCTGGACACTGGGGAAAAACTAAATAAAAGAAACACCTGGCAGTGCATTGTATTTCACTAAAATGTAGCCCCTCTACAACCTTTGCCTTTGTGAAGCTTATAATGTTTTTTTTTCCAATCTATTCAATTTTCAGTGCTCAAATCATAACCATTGATGGGGTATTCAGAAATAACAAGAAGCCTTTTTCACATGTCAGTGCTTTCCCTTGCCTTTTGTTAAAGGTCATGTTAAATTAAATAAGAAATATCATTTGTAAGAGTTATTTAAAAAACACTTTGGTGATAAACAGTGCTTATTTAAAACATATTTTATGTTATTTTCCTTTAAATAACTTATATTATTATGATCTGTTTTACTTGGTCTCAAAAGTGTATTTTTCTGTTGTTCAAAACAACAACATAAAATACCCTCTTATTCCCAAGTGGGCTACATAAATATCTGATCACATATAACACTTCTGTTAAGACATTTAATTTGAAACCTGTTAATAGCTTTGGAAACTCTGTTGAATTACAGTCTCATACATCAGTCTTAATTTGTTTTGGAAGGAAAAATTGCTCATCTCCTATTTGCCTCTTTGTCATCACTTTGGTCATTGCCCTACGGACTCTGTTCCACTCTCAATGCTTAGGTTTATTTAAAGCTTTATTTTGTAGCTCAACTCGTTCTACCTGTCTGCTCCAAATCAAGGTGTGTCACCTGAGAAGTGTGTGCAACTGATGTACAGCCCGCCCCAGTGGCTTTCTACAGAGTAATTGGTGTGACTGAGCTCTTTGATTATGTCATTAAGTCATGACCTACATTTTGTGTTATTGAGAACCTTATTGGTGAAATAAGAACCAGGCTTTCATATTTTTATATTTCTGCACTTTTTCTCACCCAAAATGACCCTGATTTAAAAAAAATCAATCAATTGTTTATTCAGATAATGGAAACAACATTTTTGCCCAACAATCACATGTGAACTCCTCTAACTCTAACTGGAGCCAGGCAGCAAGAATGAAAATAAAATCTAATATACGCATATTGGTAACTGAGTTTATGAGTACAAAATGCATGAACAAAAAGGAGAAGAACAAAAGAAAGAGAATACACAAATAAATGGGGCCCCAAAACCTAAAGAACAATGTTAAAATCACTCAAGAAAAAGTCAGGGGCGTACTAAAGTTCTGGGGTTTCTTCCTTGGGATAAACGTCTGTAAAAAGTTCATGGCAATCACAATCTACTAAAGTGGTGGACACACTGACTGACCTAGCCCTCCATTAGCCACGCTGGTAGTTTGGCTAAAAATATAATACTAATGCAACAGTCTTGAATTCAACTTTACCGTTCATTTTGTGTGTGTGTGTTTATCGGCAAGGGCAAGGCACTTCCGCTATTTGCCAAAGGCCCTGTGTCATATGGAATAACAGTGTCTCAGCCATGTGGCTACAGTCTTTCCTGAGAGACCCTATTTCTGGCACTACTATATTACTGTATAGCAACTACCATTACTGCAAGTAGAATGTGCCATTTTGCCAGTCTGACCCATCTTTGCCAGAAAGACACACAAAAGCCACAATTAAAAAAAAAAGCAATATTAAGTTCAAGGCTATAGTTCACAAGGTTAATTTATTGTTAGTGCACCGTGAAAGATACCTCATAATGGAACATTTGAACACAAACCCATAACTAGTGTAAATCCTTCCGATTTACCCTCACTAGCCACTCTCAGTTCATATTTAATACGCTAAAGTCACTTGGATTGAATTAATATGGATTTATTTTTAAATAGGTTTCAGTCAAGTCAAAACTGTATATAAAACAATGCTATAAAGCCACATTATGTGTTTTTTTGTAAATTGACCATACTGCTTTTCATTGCTCGTTATAAACTTTGTGGAAACCTAAGTATTATGGCTAAAAATGTTATTCAGTAACTTACACAATGTATATATCTAGCATGAGTGTGGGAATTAGAATAAGAAAGATGCCCAATTTAGCATTTTAAGACACCTCAAGACATGATGGGAACTTGGCTTGGGTCACAAAGAGCATTTATTTATTACGCAACAGAAAGCTTGAACTACACACCAACTGCACTGCAACGTGCAGTTGTTGACTGACTTCATACTCACTGTCAACACACCCTCTCTAACTTTTGCCTCTTATTCTCAACCGCACTTGCTTGCATAACACACAGAACTCACAAAGTAAATCCATATAGAAGTTTGCTACTTGTGTAACACACTTAAGCTTATAAAACATCTTCATTATTTGTTGTTGAGGCTTACTCCCAGTGGAGAGTCCATTTTAAGCCTGGTGGGACGTGGAGCTTGCTATTCACCGGTGGAAACCATACGCTGAGTAGTAATCCCAGTTACTAGTAAATGTACCTTTCACATGAAAAATCATCAGAGTGCTACTTTAACTTTTATTTTCTTTATCACTTCTTGTTATAGTGGAGCACAAACTGTCAATTTGATGCATAATCTACTCAACACTGTTCCACTAATTGAAGAAAGTATGTTGATCAAAATGTACAAGCATAATATTTGATTATATAATGTTGAGCCATGTGTTTGAGCTTATTTATTAGTTTATGTAATTGGTTGTTTCTTTGTCCACCGATTTACATCACACTGCATGCGCCTTTATTCTGTTTGTGAGCAGGAACATAATAACATCATTTATTTCACTAGTAATCTCTCAGCACAATGATAGAGCATCTGTGATCCAAATGATATCTAATTCAAGGACTTCTTATTCACTTGCTAAATTGCATCTGTGACACACAATAAAGAAGGTGTGTGTTGCATGCTCATTTACATAAGCTTCTGGCCTTGATGGGGTTAATATTACTATTAATATTCAGGCTATTAAAAAACCACTCAACCATCCCCATGCACTGAATGTCAACAAAGAGATAATACCTCATCAAAAGCTGTAAGTCCTTTATTATGTTACGTGATACTTTCTTGGTTGATTCCAATTATGTAAGACTTCATGGTTTGGAACAGATAGATAATATATATTTAAGTAGAGTATGACACACAAACACTCATGATTCATCTCTGCAAATGAAGGTGTTCTCTTGTTTTTATTGTCAAAGCTGTTGTAGATGGCTGCTCAGATGCTTTTTTATGAACTTCACTTGTGTAATATAAATGACTCAAGTTATGTTATGGCCATAAGCTGTTAGCTTGTGTCCATACTGTCTCTCTGGAAGACAGTCCACATTAACTCATTGGATGTTAATATCTAAAGTCGTTAGAACAATGCATTTTCCTAGGTGACATATCAAGGCAAGGCAAGTTTATTTATATAGCACCTTTCAACAGAAGGCAATTCAAAGTGCTTTACAAAAATGAAAGACATTAAGAAAATGGCATTAAAAAGCAAAGATAATAAACATAAAAATACATGGATAAAAGTTACAGTGCAGTTTTTAAGATAAGAATAGTTCAATTAAAAGCAGTGGCAACAATTAAAGTCTTCAGCCTGGATTTAAAAGTAGTAAGAGTTGCAGCAGACCTGCAGGTTTCTGGTAGTTTGTTCCAGATGTTTGGAGCATAATAACTGCTCCAACAAGCCTCATCTGTATTGGACAAACATGTTTGGAAAAAACAAATACAACTTTATCTGTAACAGTTGAAGGACTGTCTAACATTTGATGCAGCCTGCTTTACCACGCGGGTTCACCCTCTTTGTTTATCAGTGACTAAACCCCGAGTAATAATCCTATAACAAAACTAAAATTGGACAACCATGTTCCTCCACCTCCTCCTGGTGCTCTAATGGCATTTGCAAGATTTAACTGGGCCCACATTTCCCCCAGATTATCTGTCTCATGCGCTGCTGTCAGGACAATTTCATTGAAAAGATTTTGAATGTATACTTCTTCTTTTTTTTGCAGGGTTTGTACGTTTCCTCGAGGGCTACTACATTGTGTTGATCACCAAGCGCAGAAAGATGGCGGACATCGGCGGCCACTCCATCTACAAAATTGAAGACACCAGCATGATCTACATCCCCAATGACTCGGTCAGGGTTTCACACCCTGATGAAGCAAGGTACTTTTTTTTAAATGATCTCCCATATATTCATTCATACACTAGTACCTTATTTTTACACTCACTGGACTACTTTTATTCAAGAAATGGTAATATATTTGTTGGATGCTATTTTGCTAAATCACGCTTTATTTTCATGTGCTGTGATTGTCTTCCTAAGTGTTTGTGCTCGCGTCTTGCTCCTCTTTACTTTAATCTGCTAGATATTTAATATTTTCTTCTTATATTTAAATAAGAACCACTTTTACATAGATGTTGCAACAGAAATGTTACAATGTTGGATCCACTAAGATTTCTGTAACACTTTCAACACTACAAATCAGATTTCAATGCCTTCAGATGAATGAAGCAGCAGCAGCAACACATAAAACAAGCAGAGAAAGATCTGGTTGCATATATTATCTTAATCATTACAATTATACCTATAGATTCGCTATACAAATGCTTTTTTCTGGTACTTTTTTAGATGTGTGCACGACTGACATCGTTTTTGCTCTCCTAGATATGTGCGGATCTTTCAGAACGTAGATTTATCCAGCAACTTCTACTTCAGGTAAGACACATACTCAGTCCACACAGTATTTGTTATTATCACTAACTCATTAATATACATCAAATAGAACGTTTTGAAGGATATTTTGAAGGATATACCACATAAGTTAATGTATTACCTATATTTTGGAGAAGGTTGGGCTATAATAAAGCCACAAGGATTTTTGATGTCCAGATCTCAGATAAATACTAGCAATATTTTAAAATTGCTTTAATTTTCCTGTTTCCTCTCTAGAAGCGTGCCCTTTTGTTGTATTTATAGGAGTCTATGTTAGTATAAAATTGTGAAGTGGTGCAAAAATAACCTTGTATTGATCGAAAAATGAGGAAAATTACATTTTAGACTTTTTGTTACATTACATTACATTTAGCTGACGCTTTTATCCAAAGTGACTTACAATAAGTACATTCGACCAGGAAGACACAACCTTGAAGAAAACAGAATCATATAAGTACATCAGGTTTCATAGAGCCAAACATTTCAAGTGCTACTCAACTGGCTTTAGATAAGCCAGTCCTTTATTAGTATATAAGTGCTTTGTTAATAAATCTATCGCTCGAAGTGGAGTCGAAAGAGATGAGTTTTCAGTTTGTTCCATTTTTAGATTAAGTTGTCATCTTGTACATGCATATTTTTTCTAACAAAAGCTAGCACAATTTGTCACAACTCAGTCTGGTCTGACATACACATCTCTGTAGCGTTGCTCAGTGTTAAATTCACCCTTAGACAGTACAGACTGTACACTTTATATGATATACTGTTGTGCCCTACAGCTACAGCTATGACCTGAGCCATTCGCTGCAGTACAACCTGACTCTGCTGCAGAGGCCTTATGAACTGTGGACGTCACCAACTCTCCCCGCTGAGGAAGAGGTTCAGACCCAGAGCAAGAACGACGGCTTTGACATATTTGAAGATGAGGGTCTGCCTACTCAAGGTGAGTGGCTGTAAAGGAATAGCCCTTATATTCGTTGACATTTATCTATTTACTGCCAATTCGACTGTTTTATTGTCATTGAAGTCCATTGAAAATAACTTCATTTGTGGCTTATGTGTTCTTCCATTATTATATATCTATTGTAATACCTTAACACAAACTTAATACATGTTTCTAAATAGATCTTGTTCCACTTTTTATTTGTCACTTTCTAACAGATTATTTGTTCTGACCCCTTTTCAGTAAAATAATGCCGAGGTTTTTTGTGTTCCTTTTCTTCCTCCACAGTGGTGTATGGCCTCCAGAACGAGCCGTACTACAAGTACGTCTGGAATGGAAAGCTGCTGGAACATGTCAAGGACATCGTGCATCATGACTGGCTCATGTATATTATCCACGGCTTTTGTGGCCAGTCCAGTATCCTTTGAGCATTGCAGAATTCGTCAGCTGTTGATTTTATGTGCATGGGTTTTTTTGTATTGCCATGATCAACTTGTTTCTTTGGGTTTTAAAAGAAACTAAAACAAATGAGCAAAACTAACTGCCTGTATCTTGTTAGGACTCAGCTATCTCTCACATTGTTGTTATTTGTCGGCACTCCCCCTCATCTCGAACTGCAATCAGCCTCTTTCAAAGCACGTGGGTTATACTCTGAGTGTGTGATTCACCACTAAACTGCAGAAGCAATTTGTGTTTGTGCTTATGGATTTATCAAAGCAAGTGTTATAATCAAGCAATGGTTTTGGTCATCAAAGACTGGCAGTTTTATAATCACAACATCTGTTATCTGTAGGGAAAAAGCAGCAACATTGTTAATAATTAATCAGATAAACCACATGGTATTTTTATCAAAACAAATCCTGTGTTTGTACCATAGACTGTATATATAAGGTTTGTACATGCATACACAAATGATGTTGGCGTCTTTCAATTCGGTGCTTCTATGGATCTAACTAAATCTGCATACCGTGGTTATTAGTATTACGCTCCAAGTGAATAATATCCTCTGCTTTTTGAGAAGCTGTAGTATTGATGCATGGGTTACTGCTGCAGAGTAGTGGCTTGAGTCTAGACTAGAACTGAGTCAACAGTTTGATTTATTATAGTCAAAGTCTGCCTTAGGTTTCAGATCCCAATCATTTACCTTCAAGTCTCCTTTGCATAAATCACATTAGGAGTATAAAATATGTAGTTTTTTTGTCTCAGGTCAAAATAAGTTAGTCTTTCAGCAGTTTATTTTAATGAGTTTATATTATAATTACAGTTTTTGAGCTGCAGTAGCCAGATAATCCAAACTGCATTTACAGTCAGTACTGCTATCAACAATTGTCTGGCAGCATGCTGCCACTGAGACATTGTGTGGGCGCTTTACAGTGGAGATGGTTCCTGGAAACTGTTTGGCCTTCATTGCGTTTTTTATGAGCATGAGAGAAAGGATGTGTGCAATAAGAGGAGACTTGGCAGATATATACAAACAATTAGACAAGATTTCTTTTATTTTTTGGGAAAAAGTGGCAGATCAAAGGGAGACATTGGGCCTCGTTAAATATCACTCAGCAATTGTCAGGCTGATAAAAAACTTCAGTCCTAAATGTTCATCGAGTAGATAAGAATGCTACTTATGTGTGCACATGAAACGCAACTAATAAAAAAGTGGATATTCCACAAAAGTAGGTAAATAAAATGGCTATTATTACTTTGTGCATACAAATGCACAACAAATAGTCATTTTTAAAAGAGGTAAAGCCAAAAGTATTAAGGGGAATAGAAAAATAAACGCATTTAGAATGATTAGACCTGATGATGTGAATATAAAGTATGTGTGTTTTTAAAAGAGAAGTGATTGCGTCATGCTGTCAATGTTGTATCGTTATTAATATTCCTTTACCCACCAACCACAGAGCTTCTGATATATGGCCGACCGGTTCACATCACCCTCATTGCCAGGCGTTCCAGTAAATTTGCCGGGACCCGCTTCCTCAAAAGAGGAGCCAACTGCGAGGTACAGCGGTTGCCGAGGCAACAGGGAAGAATAGATAGCGGAGGCAGGGCTGAGGTCCAACGGGATGATTGAGATGACTCAGGGTGATCACGGGGTTTATTTGACCCGCTGCCTCTTCCTTGAGTGCCTGTGGGTGTGCTGTGGGAGGGACTTAATGCACCAAAACATACATTTCCTGCTATCCTGATATATGGTTCGGTTTCCTACTATTCTGTTCAATGCCATATAAGTACAGTAGCTCTTATCCAAATGGAAATTATCTTTCATTATAGCATAATGTTCAACTTTCCTTCGTCACAACAGACAGTTTGTCATGTATAGTGCAGGAAAAGCACATGTGTAGTTAATATTGTAAGGGATGTTCAATTCCCCAGGAGGATCCACAGGCTTTGAAGCAAATATTCGTGGTCTTTGAAGCAAATATTCGTAGGCGCCACACTTCAGTCACGTGATGCCATTGGGCCCAAAAGCACAGTGGCCATTTTGTTGACGTTTGTTTAAAAGCTGAAGTTAAAAGAAGCAGAAGTTTATTATATGTTTGGGCGTTTTTGATAGTCCCACATCATCTTCTTCCACAGATCAAGATTCAGATAGCCAGGATTCTTTGAGTGAATCTAAAATTCTGTGGTCAGCGCCAGCTGCCGAATAAGTCATGTAATTTAAAGGAAAGCTCCTAATGACGTTGTTTTTTTGTGCTATTGTTTACTCAACCTTGGGCTTTGTTTTCTTAGTTTTTTTTCTTTTTGCTTCCAGGGGGATGTGGCAAACGAAGTTGAGACAGAGCAGATCGTCAATGACGCGGCGGTTATGTCTTTCACCGCAGGAAGTTACTCCTCCTATGTCCAGGTGCGAGGTTCCGTCCCGCTCTACTGGTCACAGGACATTTCCACCATGATGCCAAAACCCCCAATACGATGTAAGACTCCTGCATTACCCATTCAATTGTATATTTTCCTAAATATTTGTATCATGGCTTGGTTTGTTTATTGGCTTTTTGGATTGTTTGTAGTGGGGTGGTACTAATCCAAAGGCATGTATACTTACCTAAAGTCTGGGCAGAGAGGAGTACAGCCACAGGAGCTAAACAATGTAATGTGCTGTGGATAAGGGAGAAGCTAAACATATTTAAGATGACTTATATAATACATTGCAATGTAATTACACACTATATTAAGAGAGCCCTTACGAATGGGACCTGAAACCATTATATTTCAAGGTAAAAAAGTACAGATATTCAAATTATAGTGTACACTTTAGCTGTTATTATGATATTGATTGTATTTATTTTGGTTCTAAAAACAGTTGTGCTGCTGCCCCCATTCACAGTATTACATCGCTATGCTTCTGTGCAGTCACTCCTGTCTACTTTTCTAAACTAGGGGTTAGCTGAACTCCATCTACTGTAAGTAATACACTGACTATGGATAGGAACCTTGAACAACCCTACTTCAAACAATCCAAACCACCTCTTTAAGGTGCACATCATCTGCTCTTTAATGGAGAATATGGAGAGTTGGCAAAGCTGCTCAGGCTTTAAAGGAAAATCTTTCTCTCATCCACTTTTCTCTGTAGCATAAATAAAGATTATAGGTATATGTTCTAAGAGAGAGCAGGTATTTAACTGTTTAAGTTGATAATGCACATTGTAAATATTCTATCAGTAGCCCAAGACCAGAAATAACCCTGTGGGGACAAAGGAAAAGTGTAATTGGAAAAAACTGGAGATTGGCCTTAAATCAGGGCCATCCTTTTCTCCAACAGGGCTATTGATAAAATAAAAATGAGAATAAAACAGGTGAAGGCAGGACGCCCCCCCCCCCCCCCCCCGACCGGTTCATTTCTTTGTGTCCATTCCCTTCTCACAATATGAGCTGGATGAAAACACAAATCCAGGGCCAGAGGGGGGTGAACAGCTTCCTAAGTCTGATGACATTGGTGCGTTCAATGCCTGTATGAAATTGTTACAACCAGTTCGCTCTTTAATTCATCCTCAGATGGCCTTTTTTTTGGTGTGAGATAGAGACACTGAGTGTGTCCCTGAGATCCCTCTTTGAACTATCCATCCTGATCCTTAAAGACAGTCCTTATATTTCCCAGATGCACTGTCAGGGTATTTTTCACTTGGTGATTACATATAATTTGACACAGTTTTTCATTGGTATTGGTATACTCATTGACAATTCATTTTTTTCATTATGTTTCGCATGCGATTAGTATCGATCTCCTCATCTAATCATTGGCAAGAAAACAAATGGACGTATTTCCCATAACGCGTATTTTATTTTTTAAATGTTTAATCGTACTTACACTGGTGCTCTGCTTTTTAACTCCTAGAGTGACACACAATCTAAAGCTAAATAAAACGCATGTCTGATTTTTCCTCAAAGACCTTTGGAGCTTTAAAAATTAAAAAAACAGATGCAGACAGGTTATGTGATACTACCGATTGACTTACATCTGTTAAGACGAATCTAGGTCAGTGTGTGAATTCGACCTCATCCCATCTTGTGTCACCCTCTTGGTGCCTGAGATAGCTCACTGTTATACAAGTGTATAAACTATATATATATATATAATGTCTTCATGGTGGCCCGGAAGTGCTCAAATGTCCTGGTCGTGCAGGAGATGACCTGGAGCCTCATTTATAAAGCCTTGCGTAGGATTCACGTGGGAAGGTTGCATACGTAGGACAAAGCAAATAAATAAGCACAGACATTTTCCAATTCATAAAACACTGCGTACCGGCGTAGGACTTGCGTGCGGCACGTCCTACGCCGGTTTCCCTTTTATAAATCACAATCAACTCGAAATGCGGCGCAGCTTTTGCGGGCTTCACGTAACGCCCATATTTGCCTACAAATAGTCAAAGAAACGCCCCGTATTAATATTCATTTTGACTGGCTGCATGAAGAAGATCGCAGGAAATGATGACAGAACAGCTAAAAAAGACATTTCACACCGTGTCAGATGTTGGTTCTTTTGGGGAGGTGGAGACAAATCACATTGTTTGGTGGATGCAGTTTGAACCAGAGTAGCAGCATGGAGGTCGGATCGTCACCAAAACAAATAAATAAGTGGTTCGAAAAAAGTGAATGACAAAATACACATAACCTTCCTCAGGCAGTGTGTCTGTGTTTGTGCCGGGGACAGGAGACCCCCCATGATAAGCAACTGTAAGAAAGTATCGGGGGATCCCTGCGGAGTGGAGTCTATTCATTTTATTTATTTTTATTTGGTGGTTTGTGTTCCAGCTGTTGATCAGCTGAGCGCAGTGTCTCCACTGCAGCAACTCTATCCACCAGCTAAAGGAAATAAAACTAATGTGTTGTGTTATATCAGCTGCCAAATCTACCAAATATATGGTGTTCTATAGTTTCCATACCTCCTGTGTTTTATGCGGGTCTTAGCAAACGGCATGAAACATGATTAAACATGATAGTATATAAAACCATGCTCGTATCTATACAACCTATAGAAATACAAAACGGCCTCAGTTTAGACGTAATTCTGTCCTTTTGCTTACAGCATCATTTATGAGAATACATTATTATATATTAAGACAAGATATTCGAGGTGGTTTTAAGTAACATATCCGTATATATTTTTTCTCCAAGTTAGGTTTTTGTGTGCACTGAGGAGTCTCAAACAGGCGTTTGTTTAATCATTTTAAGATTGCCTTCCATCAATGTTTGCGAATTAATTCTTCATATATGATACATGAGAGGTAACATTTTATTTATGGTATTATTTCCACATATTTCTCTCCATTCTTCCTTCTGCCAACGGTGTAGCAGTTTCTCGTCCCTCCCGTTTTTTTGCTTAATGCGTACGCATGGGTCAGAGTTTGCGTGGAGGACCGCACATTTTCCTGTCGAGTTTGTTTTTTATAAATCGCAAACATTGCTTAGAAACTGGCGTACGCGATATTTTGAGCGTACGCACCGTTTATAAATGAGGCCCCTGAACTTGGTTACTCTTCTTCTTCTTTAGATACCAGTGAGCCAGTCTGCCCTATTTCCTTTAATCTGTTTTCTGGCTGCTCCACTGGTCCAACATGGCTGCTGGCTGCAGGTGTTGGGCTCCACAGGAGGCATTAAACATGATGTTAAAATAAAAAAACCATTAACGATAAGCAGGGTCAACAACAGGGGGGAGGAAATACATTAGTTTGCTCAGTCTGTAGTTAAGTGTGCTGTTTGGCTGTTTCTTGAATTTCTCATATTCAGCAGACATCCAGACACAATACAATGGCATAAGATATTTCCATTTGTTTAACTATTTTATACCATGCAATATCATGAGTGCCCTATACATATTTAACACTCTTTGTGATTTCTCTTTCAGTGGACCAAGCCGACCCATACGCCCATGTAGCTGCCCTCCATTTTGACCAGATGCTGCAGCGGTTTGGCTCTCCTATCATCATCCTCAACCTGGTCAAGGTAACATGCAAAGTTATTATTAAGTATATTCTTAATAAAACTAATATATATACTAACATCACTCTAAGAGAGATGTGATGAACATTTAAATATATAACTTACTTTTAATTCGGGAATGACAATGGGTCACTAAAATAAATCATGCCAAGAGAAGGGGAATGGCTTTCAAAGAAAACAATGTTTTATTGGGGAATTGTTTCCTTGGTAACTGAAACTAAAACATGGGGTACTCACTATTGTCATTGGAGCGATGGCCAGCAAAAGTCTGATTAATAAGATCTAGGTAGTGAGATATTTAAGTTTTCTTCAGAAAGACTGGCTTTTAAGTGTGAGTATTATGTAAGATATATTTGTAAAATCACCAAAAAGGTAGATATCTAGGGGGGTGTGAATATGCAATCAGTCAAGCACTGGATTTTTACTGGGGGGTAAGCTGTTGCTGTGGAGACTTTAATAATAATGTCAGATTTTCCCGGCAGTTGCTGCTTACCTGGCGTTGACATGGTAACGTTTAATAATCTTGGTCTGCTTTGCCCTTAAAACACATGCAGCAATGCTGAAAGGGATGAAAACACTGCACACACTCTTACCTGCACACACACAGCATACAACTTCACTGCTTATGAATTACGAAATGACAATGCAAAGTATCACTAATAAGTTACTATACGCTAATAAAATGTCATCTTATATATATATATGTTTTTATACTGAGTACAACTCCACAAGAAGAGTTGCATGAATGCATTATTCATAAGGAATAATCGCGTCTTTACATTGTTTTATCTTCTTATCCATGTGTGCAAAACTGTTAGCAATGTCCTCTCATGAACCAGTGCGCTACTACTCTTTCTTATTCACCAGCATGGACACACTCATGCAAACAGCTATTCACTCTTGGGTTTCAAGCTCATGTTGTATCACAGACTTTAGAGGTCTACACAAGCTGCGGCCATGTGATATGTGCTGGCTGGATATATACAATACACCCTCTCTCTTGTCCCATGAGACAGTAGGAGGAAGGATTTGTTAAGTAACCATGAAACCATGACAGCCCTTCTCTCAACAGTGTTGACTTGGGTCAGCATGCTGTGTCAACTCTTGGATGTTTGCATGGTTTTCTGATGGGTCCGAATGATAAGAGGAAGAAAACACATGGCCGAGCATGTGAATCGCCTTTCCTATCAGACAACTTAATTAGATTAGATTTGTTGTGACTGCCGGAGAAAATCTCTACTCTCCCCACCTACAAATTATTCATTTTTATTCAGCACCTAATCAATTAATTTTTCAAATTAATCAACAACAAAACATTTTTGCCAGAGAATCCATTCATATTTGGGAGCAACCACCAAACATAGAACCTGCCCACACAAAAGGAAGAGGAATTAAGATGAGAAAAATAAAGACGTATAAATAAAAAAAAATACACATCGCACATTTGATTTTTACGGTGTCCATGACCAGCTCCCCCCCCCCATATGTAGTACATGTGCACATGTTTCCTAGTCTTTCTTCTGTGCCTCATAAAGTGCGTGTGTGTTTGTGTGTGTGTTTGTCAGACAGTATGACACACCCATGCCAAACGAATGAGGAAATGCATCGTTAATGTGAGTGTGTTGCTTTGCCACGGCTGGATGTGTGCATGTGCAAGCTGCTAAATGATGCTTCCAAGCCCATTATCACCCAGGGAGATCAGTCATAAAGACACAATGTGAGGAGACATAACTTAATGGAGAAATGTCTTAATGGACTGTGTGACCACAGGTCAAAGAGACACACAGGGGGTGTGTGAATGCATTAACAAAAAAAGTCTTATTTATTTACAAATATTTTCTATGAATTCATTAAACATCTAGAGCTCAGAAACAATAAACCAACAGCAGTCAAACTTTTTGGATGCCCTGATGTAAACTCATTAAACATTTTTATCGGAAGATAATTAGCACTTTTTACTGTAATAAGATTCTAAATGAAACTATGAATTCACCTCCTAATCCCTCTTTGTGGCATACAATTCAATTTGCACCAATATCCCCTACAGTTACACCTATTATATTACAGTATATAACCCCACCTATCTGCATTGTCTCTCCTCAGCTCTGTGCTTTACATTTCACATAAGTCGTAGTCTGAATGGATTCTGTAAATTGTTTCTCGCAGCTCTATTTTTCAGGGTTATTGTGGAGAAGACCTGAAAGGATCTCTGTGAATGCGTTTATTACAACCAACAGATTTCTCATGTTGATCTATACTGGTGTCCTTGTTGGACTGGCTTTGTGGGTAGATTAAATCCTACATGCGATACACACATGCGTCTCTTTGTTGTGCTACAGAAACGGGAAAAAAGGAGACATGAGAGGATCCTGAGTGAAGAGCTGTACCCAGCTGTGATCAACCTAAATCAGTTTCTCCCTCCAGAAAACTGCATCGACTACATCGCCTGGGACATGGCCCGCTACACCAAGAGGTGGGGACTATAGATCTTTAAAGTCCAACAGCAGATAGGATCCTTTCTACTGAGATTTTAAAGGTTAGGAGGTTAATGCAGTATAATAACTCGTGGTGGTATCAAACTAAATGTGTGAGAGCAAAGCTGTTTGCCCGAGCTAGTGTGGAGAATGATGAGCAGCACAAAATGGCTATATTTCATCTAAATGTAAATTATTTCAGTTTTCGTTTTAAATATGGTATTGTTATCTGATATTTTCTGCCATTTTAAAACTTCCTTGAATCCTGTTAGGATCAAAGACTAAAGTTACGTCATACTCTGAACTCAGAAATGTTTAAACTTTTCCAAAAATGTTTTTCTACAGCAAAGTATTTAAAATATTCTCTTCTGATCAGTGACATAATCACTAACTAAAAAAACAAAAAAAAACTGATGGAAGATCAGTCATCCACATTGAACGTAATGGTCACGCCCCCTGTATACAGAAGCATTACTGTTCCACAGCTCCAGAAACAAAAATTTAGAAATTAAAATTCCTCATTTCTATTTCTCTTAGTAAGTTGTGCAATGTTCTGGACCGTCTGAGTATGATAGCCGAGAACGTGGTGAAGCGAACCGGTTTCTACATCAACCGCTCCGACTTCTACTGTCACACCGTCAGACCCGATGACAGGTGAGCCATTTCAGACTCCTAGCTTCAATTCAATTCAAATGACTGCATTACAATTCCATATAAAAGAGCGAGAAAGAGAAGGTGGCAAATGGTATGCCATGACATACCAGTGATATGAGAAAAAAGAGGAACAAACCATGTGCTAAACCATGCCACCATCTTTTTTCTATTTGCGTATCATGGAAGGAAAGCTACATTTTCCCTGTATTACCCTATGCCCTGTAAGGTGTCCTTGGGTGCTATGAAAGGCGCCCCCCAAATAAAATGTATTATTATTATTAAATGTTTCTATTCCTCTAATTCTGACCCCCACACTTATTGAGGCTGTTTAATTTGAAAAATGTACTCCTATGAATTCTTAATGGGAATGACGCCTAATGACCATTTTGTCTCAGAGAGTTTTCTAGATTTCCATCTGTGTACTTTGTGTTGGCCATTGCTAGCATTTCTTAATCATTTCCCCCTAACATTACCATTTTGTTACATAACCCAACGACCTCTCCATGGTAACTATGTATTACCCTTTCTTCTGCAGTCCCAATGCTATCTCACATTCTTTGTTATACACACACGCACCTCACACTCATGCACATGATCTCTCACATACACACAAATAAACATAACCCTTGTAAGTTGATGTGGTTTAATAATTATGGCACCTCTAGGCTTCATCACATCCATAAATGAGCTCATGAATTATAAGGATAATCAGATTAGAGTGTTTACATTTATGCAGTTTATGTTTCATTGATTTATCAGTAAATTATAATAAATATGCAGAATTGACAAGTGTACTTTAATGCAAAGTATTAATGTTTTTTTCTTGGTCAAGTTAATTAAAATGTATTTTGTTTCAGGTGGGGAGATTTAGGTGGACATATCACAGCCAGTGGACGGGTGCAGGTACGTCACATGGCGGAGGGGTTTGCTGTAACTTTGTGTCAGAATTCAGTTTGTCACTTAATATTCTACCCAAATTATTTAAAAAAAAACATAATGTAAACAAATTCATACTCAACAAATTAATTATGAGCAGTGAGATTTCTTGCCAAAAAACATAGCTTTTCATATGATGTTTATTTGAGAAAGGGGCTCAGCATTCATTTAGATGCAAAACTAGGCCAAAGCATATCGTTGCATAATGAGTGTTTTTCTTAGAAACCTTGATCACATATGCAGCGATGTTCTTGGAATTATCCGAGCTGTTTTCCGCAATTTAATGACCACCATTTACAGAGGGTTAATACATGGAGATGGTTACAGCTGATGCTGTGATTTCACTAATATAATTACCTTATTATTTAGTTTGTGTTTAACTACATACTGAACATACATACATTAAGTAAGTTTAATGAGTCTTTATTGTTGTAGACCGGCGTGTTGAGGACCAACTGTGTGGACTGTCTGGATCGGACCAACACCGCTCAGTTCATGGTGGGGAAGTGTGCGCTGGCCTATCAGCTTTTTGCACTGGGAATGATCGACAAACCCAGACTCCAGTTTGATACGGACTGTGTGAGGTAAAGCTCCTTTCGGTAGCATGTATTATGCCAGAGCCAATGAAAAATGTTGGTCAGTTCAGCAATATGTAAATTTTGTCTGAAAACCTAGGCTACATTATGGATTTTAATTCTCACTTATTAGGATCCCCAGTAGACTAAATCACACTTTTTGCAGTAAAAAAATCCAGAGTTACACACGACTACCCCCGTTGTCATGTATAGGGTTGCTTCTAATGATTATTTTCATTATTGATTCATCTGTAGATTCATTTATTTGATCAATAAAAATAAAAAGGTTTATAAAAAGTATTACATTTGACTGTGGAGATGTTTCATAGACTTAAATGCATCGGGGAGAAGAATCATCAGTCACATGTCTAACTTGACTTCTTTAACTGGAATTCTGATCTACTTGTACCTCTACATTAACACCCCATAATACGTTTATTTAGATCTTTGCTCATGAAACAGGAGTTTTATAAGTGTTGCACACCTCTGTTGTTTTGCAGAAGCAGAAGAAATGCATACAGCAATCACACAAACGCCACATTTTGTATAAGAATCTCTCAAAATCAAGAGAAGATTACCTTATCTAGCCTGTGTGTGTGTGTGTGTGGCCCAGGTTGTTTGAGGAGCTGTATGAGGACCATGGAGACACGTTGTCACTGCAGTACGGTGGCTCCCAGCTGGTCCACAGGGTCAAGACCTACCGCAAGATCGCTCCCTGGACACAACACTCCAAAGACATCATGCAGACCCTGTCGCGCTACTACAGCAACGCTTTCTCAGGTGCGTTACACACACACATTACACAGGTGCATAACAATGCTTTATTACACACCAGCACAGAAGTAATTAAGAAGGGACTGGAGGATTATGCATGTTACTTATCTCTTATATATGTTGTGTTACTCAATAAAACCATTTTATGCTGCTGTGTTACACCTCAAGTGTGAACGTACGTTGCACACAGTCATATTCAGCATAGTTCCCTAATGACTGTTGGCACAGTTACAGGGTGTTCAAAGCAATTTCTATGACAACTGCAAAAAGTGTTAGATTAAGAGCATTTGATTTCCGATATTGTTATCTGGAGAATTATTTTAATTATCTGGTGAGATGTTTTCTCTTTTTCAATTTGCCACTTGCATCTAATGTCTAAAAAGTCTGGATGTGTTGCTTTGTGGTGCCTGCAATTAGATGTTCTAATAACTATAAATGACACCCTTGTTTATATGTAGTCACAGCGCATCTATGGAAATGTGCATGGGTGTACACAACACTCTAGTGACTGTTCGTGGTATCTGTAGCCCTAGAAATGGAAAAGGAAGGTTGTGTGCTTTGTATTAAGTCAAGAGGGATGGCGCTGTGCTGCTTGACCTACCAAGTTAACCTCCTGTTGCTTCTCTGGCTAAGATATGCCTCAGCACTCTCTGCAAAGCACCAAAGTAGTCTATAGTAGGACAAAGACAAGCAATAGAAAATTGTAATCCAGTAGGATAAGGTAGCTGTGACCTTCCCTTCAACCATAACAACTATTTGCAAATAATGTCATTTTCATGTGCTATGAAAAACCAATTTGCTACCAAATTGAAACACTCTAAAAACGGCCTTGTATCACTCTTTAAAAGTGTTTTTTATTCAATTGAAATCAAATTAAATTGTGTTTTTATAGCGCAATGTCGCATTATTGAGTGATGGCCATAGCACCATACAAAATGAAACACTGTATCTTTTGAAAAACAAGTATATTAGCAATATAAGGAGAGTCATTTGTGATGCTTATCAGAGCATACACAGCAATCATTCCTCAGTAAATTAATGACATACACTTCAACATCCCTGACAAACACTTTTCTTTCTCACATAAACATTTTTGACACACAAACATACAGTACGCACTGAGACCAGTGAAATGTATTTTTTACTTTGTGCATATCATTCATAATAACATGTTGTGAGACATTGCTTCTGTGAATTATTTCTGATGCATGTCTACATTGAAGTTAAAAGCTAATCCATAATCGCCAAGAGGAAAGGCGAGGTATCAGGCTTTAATACAGCCAATTTTGTTTTGAATTATTTTAATTATATTGGAGCAGCACAGGGCTTCACAGGGGATGGATGGCACTCAAAGTAGGCAACATTGAAAACATGTGCCATGTGCTGAACAACAAATGAAACATTACACAGAACAGAATTTTTTTAATACAAGCACATTGTCCAGAAGTGGTTCGGAGAGATTTTACTGACAATGCATTCAATACTTTTTTATATTGAAGATTTCATACATAATGACATTCAACATAATGTGCTCAAGAGAAAAAAATCATAAAACAAGTATAAACTCTCTGGAAATAATTGCTTTTTAACAAACAATAAGGCTTACAAATATTTGGTATTTCTGCTTGAACAATGACTAAACCAGGGGTGGGGAACCTTTTTCCTCTCAAGGGCCATTTCAATTTTTACAATATCCTCAGAGGGCCGTACAAATTATTGACCTCTGCTTAAAAAAAAAAAAATCACAGCCCATTCATTTCATTCTGTGCAAAGAAAAAGCAACCTCTTAATCCAGATATCTGCATGCACCACGGTGTGGCGTGACCACCAAAACAGAAAGATATGGACACAAGATGTGTGCCAATGTATTTAGTTTCCAACCATGTGAACATGATTTAAGTGGGGGGGGACCTCACCTCCTCTAGGGGGGTCCGGGGGGCATGCTCCCCCGGGAAGATTTTTTTTTAAATGTTGAAGTTAAAAGCATCAATCTGGTGCACTTTGAGAGCAACATTAGGAGATCTATGGATACATCTCTCAACACCCATATGAAACAGAACTGGAAGCAGATTTATTTTTCTTTATGAATATTTGACAAATCACTCTCCTTTCAAACTGTATTCTTCTTTATTAATAACAACTTTTTTTACTGTCATATAGTATTTTATACCTGTTTACTTTATTCTCTTATTTTTTTTATAACTATAATGATCATATAAAGATGTGCCTTTACCTCACTGGTTGTAGAAAAAGCTTCTTATATTCGTTAGCATAGCTAGCTAACCAGATGCTAATAACAACAAAGTTATTGACTGTATGATCAGTGTGACGGATGAGCAGATCGCCACTGGGCTTTCAACTAAAGACACAGCCACGCAGAAACTGCAGCATGTGTACGGCTCCTTATGGGTACTGCAATTTCTGAAATGCCGGAGCGGCGTTCTGGTTCTCTCCGTCAGAACTGCACCCTGTCAGATGAGACATATACCACGTGATGACACGTTGGGCTCGTGTTGTGTTCAAGGACCCCGACCTTGGCCAGGAAAAACAGGCACTCGCTTGTTTAATTTTTTTGCGGTCTAGATTTCTTACATTTTTTTCTTTTTTGCGTGTGTTTATAAATTACCTCGAGGGCCGTACCAAATTGTCTCGCGGGCCGTATACGGCCCGGAGGCCGGAGGTTCCCCACCCCTGGACTAAACCATGATTGACTCTAGTAATCCCTCATCTGCATTTAGTTTTATAAATTCTCTTTTGTAGATTAACTAACCATTATGTTTTATTTGTTATTATTATGTCCTTCTTGCACCTCCAGATGCTGACAGACAGGATGCCATCAACCTGTTTCTCCAAGTCTACCAGCCATCAGAGTCCAAGCCTCACCTGTGGGAGCTGCCCACCGACTTCTACCTGCATCATAAGAACACCATGGCCCTCCCCCAAGACAGACGCAGGTAACAAACACATCTGTATACTAACAAACACACTTGCTGTACTAAAATGCACATTTATAAATAAGAACCTTGGATAACATGTTTGCATCTGCCACAAAACCTCTTTCAATGGCTTATGAATGTTTGTGGGTCTTTGCATTTACACTAATTGAATATATCAGTGGGAAATCACTCGCAATAGATTAGCGCTGCTATTGAAAATGATTATTTTAACCCCAGGATGTACAAGTCTGCCTTGGATGTTGTTCACATGAGCAGTTTTTTATTTATTTTGCTCTCTTAATCTGGCAAAAAATACTCTTTGTCTCTGGTGTTATTGCTTCATGGCTTATCGCCACATTACTGCAATACAGTTACTTTGGTTTCTCCTAGGGTGCAGTGTGTTCAAGGCCATGGTTTAATCCTATATACACCCTTTGTCATGGGTATAAGATACATGAACAATGGGAAATAGACCATTTTTTAGGTTGCAATTTGCTGTCTGGGACTCTAAGGGACATTTGTAGCTAGTTCTGCAAGCTACTTTTATTGGAAAATAAAATGGCTGTGTTGTAAATCAAGCCTTTTTCCCAGGTAATTGTACCCATTTCAACACGTGCGTATCTTGTCTGTCTGCAGCTACACACTGTGGTGGACTGCAGGGATCTTGTCCTACCTTCCTGTGCCCTATGATGAAGGTCGGTATCTCTTCAGTATATGATAATTGGAATAATGCCTGCAGTATCTGTAATAGGTAACAGAGGCAGCTGCAGATTAGTTCCTTGATCTTTTTTATGAAAATCTAATCAAAATAGTTTATCGTCATCCAGTTTCAAGATGGAGGAATAACGCCTTGTCTTAGCTTTGTAGGCACATATCTCCGGTTTTCCTAAATAAATTACTGTGCAACAGTGTTTGTAAGATCATAAAAATGAAATATAATGTCACCAGATGCGATGTTTTGTCTCACTGGTGTTTTTTTAAACAACAATGGAGCTCAAGGGCACAGACAATTACACTTTATCTGGCATTAGTTACACAGATGGGACATGTTTGGAGGTTACATTCATTGTTCTAATGGTTTTTTCATGGGCATTGCTGACATAATATCAGCAGGACTTTCTTTATTGTTTTCTTGTGATAATTGATTTTTCTGCACGTTTGATTTGTGCTCCTGTGTGGATGCAGTCCCCTGTGAGGACAACATGAAGAAGGTAAAAGTGAAGAGAGTGAACCGCTTTGAGGAGAGCATAGACATCTACACAGAGTTCTTCAGACCCTATGAACTGACCTCCTTTGATGACACATTCTGCATCGCCATGACCAACTCTGCAAGGTAAATACACTCGCAACTCTTTAGACACTTAAAGATACATTTGAAACATAAAACTAAATCAAAATGGACTGAGTGATAATCTACAATCCACTATATTTTCTAGCTAACTACAGTGTAACAGTTATTGCTTAAACATTGTGAAATTAAATGAAAGCATCCCTGTTGTTTTGATGGTAAACACTTTGGATTTAAACTGTAACAAATACTCATTATTTGTAATTGTGATGGGTTTCCTTATAATTTGTGTTCATAAAGGGAATTTATGCCCAAAACCGTTGGAGTTGATCCAAGCCCCTTCACAGTTCGCAAGCCGGAGGAAACGGGAAAGTCAGTGCTGGGGTGAGTGCAGCTTGAGCTAGTTACATGTTCACATTTGTGATGTTCTGTTTATGTAATGAATCACATGTCACCGTGCCCTCATTCATATGGCTTCATTTGACACTGTGTTACCAAAAACAAGGCTTTGTCCTTTTTCCAGTCTTTGTTTAGAACACTGTGTGTGTGTGTGTGTGTGTGTGTGTGTGTGTGTGTGTGTGTGTGTGTGTGTGTGTGTGTGTGTGTGTGTGTGTGTGTGTGTGTGTGGTGTGTGTGTGTGTGTGTGTGTGTGTGTGTGTGTGTGTGTGTGTGTGTGTGTGTGTGTGTGTGTGTGTGTGTGTGTGTGTGTGTGTGTGTGTGTGTGTGTGTGTGTGTGTGTGTGTGTGTGTGTGTGTGTGTGTGTGTGTGTGTGTGTGTGTGTGTGTGTGTGTGTGTGTGTGTGTGTGTGTGTGTGTGTGTGTGTGTGTGTGTGTGTGTGTGTGTGTGTGTGTGTGTGTGTGTGTGTGTGTGTGTGTGTGTGTGGTGGTGTGTGTGTTGTGGTGTGTGTTGTGTGTACACAGTACGATAATTAAAAACATCACTTAGTTTTGAGTAAAACAAGAAAAAGCAAAGGAGACAAAAATAACTCTATACATGAAAACAGACATAACCTACTATCATAACTAGGGATGGGTACCGAGCCCTGGTATTAAACGGGCCCCGGGGCTGACTTATTAAAGACCGTGGTACCGTTAAGCTCCGACGTTATCGGTCTTTTTATCGGTACTGGAGACATGTAAAAAATATGTAATATGTATTATTGCTACACAAACATTATATTGCAGTTTTAGTGTCGCCAACTCCGTTTCTAATATGCAAAAAGTCTTGCAAATGTGTCAAATTATTTTTCACGATCTTTCCAATCCAGACGAGAGATCTCTCTCCCCGTCTGTGTGCGAGGGGGCGGGGCAGTTTACACACGCAGCTGCTACATGCAGCAACACACACACACACAGAGTAGATGGCGGAGAGAACGCGCTCCGAGGTGTGGTTAAACTTTACCCGTCTCGATGTGGAGAATGCTCGTTACCAAAAGTGGAATAAGAGTTTAGCATGTAAGGGCGTTAACACGAGCAATTTGTCTAAACATTTAGCAAAAGTGCACCACATCCAGACGGAGAAATGCACCGTTTTCGACTGTCTTTCTAGTAGCTCTGTAGCCCCATCCACGAGTAACGTTTCCACGTCAGGTATTATGTATGCTAGCAGCAACACACAAAGTTAATTCAATTATATAAACATGGGTTAATGATTAGAGGTAACTGAGTTATTTATTTTGTTAAAGTTTCAGCTATTCTGTTTACAATTCTTTATTTAATACGATTTAATACGATTTGTTAAAACATTGTTGTTTCTTTTGATGTGAAATATTACGTATTTAATTTAAATAAAAAGCAATGTTAGTTTTGTTCATAATTTGTTTAGTTTACCTTATTTTTTTCTCCAAAAGTACCGTTAAAAGACCGGATCGATAAGATAAAAGTAGTAGTACCGTTAAAACCTTAACGACAGCAATCCCTAATCATAACAGATACAAAACATTTGCAAAATAGCATCAAAATAAATAAACACAACTACATTACATTACATTACATTGCATTTAGCTGACGCTTTTATCCAAAGCGACTTACAATAAGTACATTCGACCAGGAAGACACAACCTTGAAGAAAACAGAATCATATAAGTACATCAGGTTTCATAGAGCCAAACATTTGAAGTACTACTCAACTGGCTTTAGATAAGCCAGTCCTTTATTAGTATATAAGTGCTTTGTTAATAGTTCTATCGCTCGAAGTGGAGTCGAAAGAGATGAGTTTTCAGTTTGCGCCGGAAGATGTGCAAGCTATCTGCTGTCCTGATGTCAATGGGGAGCTAATCAACTAATGATGGTGAAGCACAATACAAAGAATCAGAATCTGAAATCCTTTATTTGTCCCATAATGTTGACATTTACATGATTACAACAGCAGATACAGTGAGGGATTTACACACGTTATTAATAATACAATAACTAAGAAACAAAATACAAAATTGCAGATATATACACCATGGAAAGAAAAAAATTCGCAATATTTTTATACTGGCCTCGCCGAAATCTCCTTCTTGGTTAACCAGCGAGATAAACACTCTCACAAAGTAAAACTCAGGACCCCGAGGTGATGTTTTGAAGCTTTACTAAGCAAGCAGTATGAAACTGAAGGAATACAGAAACAAGAGCAATTGTAAATATCAACTACAACAGTGGTTCTCAAATGGGGGTACGCGGACCCCTAGGGGTACGTTGGAGTACTGCAGGGGGTACGTGAGATTTATTTTATGTTAATGAAAAAAAAAAACGTAATTCATGCATTTAAACAAACTACTAATAGTAGATTAACTACTTTCTTCAAAAGTGTACAGTAATTCTGGATAATAAAATGGGAACAATAAACGGGGTGCTCTCTTTTCCTCTCCCTCTCCTGACAGCTCGTCAGGCTCGTGCAGCTCGCTGAACCTGTAATAAGTGACCCGACAGTAAAGAATAAATATATGTATAACTAGTTTAGCTAGTTCCAGAGTAGATAAACTAGCTAAGTGTGTTAGTTAGGTCTAACTCTTAGTGTATTTTCCTCCGCTCAACGGTCCGTCACAGCGGACGGAGCTGTGATCATGCAGAGCTGCGTGTTCTCCGTCAGCAGCAGCTTCTCTGATCTCTGATCTCTCTCTCGCGCGTCCAGTTATACTTCACTCGCGTTTATGTCCAAATCTATCAGATCTAGCTAGTTCTAGCTAATGATATGACTGCCTGCTTATCAAAGGACCTAAACAATAAGCGTTGCTTGGCAACGGCGTGTGGCCGCAAAGTATAGCATATGTTTATATGAGGTGTCAAAATCCCATGCTCATAAAATGCTCATATATCTTTTTCTCTTCATTCCCCATGCCCCAAAATAAATAAATAAATAAATAAATATACTAATTTTAGGAAAAGTAACGAGGTTTGAGCAGTGTGGGTTTTATATTAACAGAGTTACACATATTTCAAAACGCAAAGTGTAATAACCGCAGTTGCCTCAGTTCAATGCAACTAATGTCGTCTTAGTGTTATTGCATGATGTTAAAATTGGTTTGCCATGAATTTAGTGATGGATTGTAAACATTTGAAATGTAGCATTTAAGTTTTTCTCAGTTACAATGTTGTTGTTTCAATAAATCAGACACTGATGGTGCATCGCTGTACTGTACCTCTTTATATAGGCATTTTTTTTCCGAAGGGGGTACATTATTGAAAAAAGTTTGAGAACCACTGAACTACATGACATAATAATTACGTATACATAGATATATATCCAAGACGGCATGAAATTAGGTCAGTGCCAAAGTACAGATGCAATGTTTAAGCTATATTGCATATACAGCAACTACAAAATGTCAGCTGGGATCAAATATCACAATAATGCACTCAAGGTAAAGATATATAATGTAGAAACATAAAAACTTGAAATGCCTTCTCAAGGGCTATGATGAATGATGGATGGCACAGGATGAACAGACGCCACCTTAGCTGGAGCACACATGCTATTCTGAAATGTCTCAGGCTAACTTTCTGTCACATGGGAACTAAAAATAACTGCTTCATGCAGTACGGGAAGTCACCAGAAGGAGTCACTATAACACACAAAATAATTGGCGGAGCCAAAACAATATTAGTTTTTAAGAAAAGTCCCCATATTGAATTTAAGAGCTAGCTGGTACAAAGTTGAATCATTTCCATACCACATTCTGCAGTTACATAACTACATCGCAGCTCATCACAGATCAATACACACATTATGATATTAACACCGACCATTGGTTCAAGAAATGTCATTAAGGTTGAGTCACAGCCTGGGTAAGATGCAAACATCCGCCTCATCAATCAGCTTCTTATGTAATGGACCATTTCATAAGACCAGTCAATAATCAATTCATCCAGTTGGAAGGTCTCCTTTTTTTGTATCCGTCTATAAATCTTTAGTTTCACATTATTCTATCAAATCACTTCACGTTAGAACCAGGTTAGAACTGAGTGGTCTCTAACAGCAATTTACTTGATTTACAGTGTAGACGTTTAATCTGTAGCCACTTAATTTAAATGTCATTACATAATATTCTTCCGAAGCACATTACAACAACAATCTGTATTTTGAGAAGCAAAAAGGTGATAACAATGTTTTGAAGATAATCTGACATTTGTTGTGTTTGCTGTTTTCCTATTTTCCACAGGAGGTTAAAGTGCACAACTACCCTATGTATTAATTTGAACTAGTTTTAATCTTCCATGCACGTATGTATATATATTGTGTGCATTTAAAGAAATCATGAATGCTATTAACTTTATTTAAAGCTCCCCTATTATATTCTTTTTCAACAATATATTATAGGTCTCAGATATATACAAAACATATCTCTGAATCTTTGGCTCGAAATACCAAACAGATTGCTCATTGTAGCATGCCATATACCCCTACCTGGTTGTAAATTTGAGTGATGTCAAACTCCACAAAATTATAATTGCAGAATCAAGGGGCACTTTAGACTTAGAGTCTGAACTCTTTATTTTTCTTTGTGACTGTTACGTCCCAACTAGGGGAAGAGGAAAGCAACATACACCAGATTGGAATTGGTAATAATTATAAATGGCTTTATTATACCAGGGTGAAACAAAATGGCAGGCAGGCAGCCTGAAACAAACAAAGTGGCCACGAGGGCGCAAGTTTACACAAACAACCAAACAAAGGGAGGACTGACTCTAAAAAGGGAGCCTGTTTACATACAAATAAATAGATAAACTAAATAGTAACTAAAACCCTCACTGTCAAAGTGGTACTAACTAAAGAAAAGGAGGCTGTAAAAAAACACAGCTAAACTAAACAACCGTCAACTTAGAGACTCAGATACTCTAATCACATAGTCACATCTAATCATATCACACTACAAAACACAGACCACACAATTTAACCACAGAACGAAGAGCAAGTAGCGAGAGGCGTCTGTTCACTCAACAGAGCCTCCAGAGTGATGATTGTCCCCAGGCTTTGTAGTCGTCTCAAGCAGTTGTGCGCCGGCTGTACGCTGCGATTGGAGTGGTTGGGCCCGGCGTGCTCCAATCACAATCTTCAGGGGGCGGACCAGGAGATGGCAGCCAATCACGACAGGGCAATCGCACAGCTCATTTACATGCAACACACATTAACACAGTTAAGAGGACCAGGAAGGCAGCAGCCGTAACAGTGACTCGAAGGTTTATTCCCGGTATAAGTCAGTATTTCTGCTGTGACGGGAAATGTAGTCTATTAAAAAAAGTCCTCTAAACATGACATTGATTTACAAGTCCTTCTGCATGTGTGTTTTCACTCAAATACAGCACCAGACACTTTTTACGCTGCTATGGACAATCTGGCATTAATGCACATTCTATGGACAATTTTGCACTAATGTACATTCTGAAATATTGAAGTTTTATTGATTGTTGTGTTTTTATTTAGGTCTTAAAGGTGGGGTAGGTAAGTTTGAGAAACCGGCTCGAGATACACTTTTTGTTATATTCCATGGAATGCTCTTAACATCCCGATAGCAATGAATATCTTAAGTGCTTTGACAAAAAATACATTAAAAAATGTCATCTGTGGAAGCCGTAACACTGTAAAAAGCACGACCAATCATCTGAGCCGGCCCGGCTAAAATAACTGGATGGCCTACCTGCCTGTCAGCCTTCCATCTGTGCACAAACTTATCTCGTGCCCTCATTGGTCATGTGCGCGTTCGGTGTGTGTTGGAGGAGGGGCTCTGTAAGGAAGTGGCAGATTTGTTCCGGCTGTGTATTTTCAAATTCTAGCGCACTCGAGCTGGTTTCTCCTAAATTACCTACCCCACCTTTAATGTGTGCACATGTAAAAATGTGTCGTTGATTCTGTGTATATATATATATATATATACACATACATATTTTCACACATAATTTTATATACATTTGTTTTTATATTCGGGATTGTGTGAAAAGCCATTTTGATCGCTCTGTCTGAACACACAAACTGGAAGATTGACAATAAAGTTGACTTTGACTTTGTGCATAATATGTTAATCATTGTCAGTCCCCTCCTTCTCCCTGGCTAAATGACGCACTGCGTGCTAATAGAACCATCCTTCGGGCAGTTGAGCGGAAATGGTGGAAATCCAAACACTATGACAACCTCCTAACCAATCAGGCTCTCTTCTCCTCTTTCTCTTTTTCGATCTCTCAGGCAAAGCACTTTCTTTCAAGATAAGATCCATTCTTCCTATTTCAATCCCACAAAACTATTTTCCATCTTTTCCACCCTCTTAGAACCCCCCAAAGCCCCTTCCCCCTCCTCCCTTCTGTCAAGCGAGTTTTTTAACTACTTTGAAAAAAAAGGTTGATGATATTCGCTCTTCTTTTTCTGACTCACCTTTACTCACCACTGGGTCACCAGTCCCACCGTTCACCCACACACTAACCTCCTTTTCCCCTCTCTCTCCAAGTGAGGTTCTTACCCTCATTACCTCTGCCCGTCCTCCCAGTTGTCCTCTGGACCCTATCCCCTCAAACCTCCTTCAGACTATCGCTCCTGATATTCTACTGTTTCTCACCCATTTCATCAACACTTCTCTAACTTCTGGTCACTTTCCAAACACTCAAGGAGGCAAGAGTAAACCCTCTCCTAAAGAAACCCACTCTCAACCCGTCTGATATTATAAACTACAGGCCTGTCTCTCTCCTCCCGTTCCTGTCTAAAACACTTGAACGCGCTGTCTTTAAACAACTCTCCTGTTATCTCCATCAGAACAACCTTCTGGATCCGCACCAGTCTGGTTTCAAGGCAGGTCACTCCACAGAAACTGCTCTCCTCGCTGTCTCTGAGGAACTGCACACTGCTAAAGCAGCCTCCCTCTCCTCTGTCATCATCCTGTTGGACCTGTCTGCTGCATTCAACACGGTGAACCATCAGATCCTTCTTCACACTCTCCAAGAATTTGGAGTTTCAGGCTCTGCACTTTCCCTCCTCACCTCATACCTCAAAGACCGCACCTACAAGGTAACTTGGAGAGGGTCAGAGTCCGACCCTTGTCAATTAACTACAGGGGTCCCTCAGGGCTCTGTTCTTGGTCCCCTCCTCTTCTCGTTGTCCACAAACTCGCTCGTATCAGTCATTAGCCCCGCATGGTTTTTCATACCACTGCTACGCTGACGACACCCAATTAATTCTGTCCTTTCCCCGCTCAGAGACCCAGGTCGTCGGACGCATCTCTGCTTGTCTAGCAGACATCTCTCAGTGGATGTCTGCTCACCACCTCAAGCTCAACCTTGACATGACTGAACTGCTTTTCCTTCCATGAAAAGATTGTCCCACTCTTGACCTAACAATCAACATCGGCCCCTCTGTTGTTTCCCCGACTCAGACTGCAAGGAATCTGGGTGTGACCCTAGATAACAAACTGTCCTTCACTGCAAACATCGCTGCTACAACCCGCTGCTGCAGATACACTCTTTACAACATCAGGAGGATACGTCCCCTCCTGACCCAGAAAGCGACACAACTTCTGGTCCAGGCTCTCGTCACCTCACGCCTAGACTACTGCAACTCCCTCCTGGCTGGTCTACCTGCATGTGCAGCGGCTCGTCTGGTCTTCAACCTTCCAAAATGTTCCCACACCACGCCGCTCCTCCGCTCGCTTCACTGGCTTCCAGTAACTGCTAGAATCCACTTCAAGACACTGGTACTTGTGTACCATGCTGTGAATGGATCTGGCCCTTCCTACATACAGGACATGGTTAAACCATACACCCCAGCACGTGCACTCTGCATCAACCAAACGGCTCGCTGCACCCGCACTGCAAGGGCGACCCAAGTTCCCATCTGCAAAAACACGTTGGTTTGCTATCCTGGCTCCAAAATGGTGGAATGAGCTCCCCATTGACATCAGGACAGCAGAAAGCTTACACATCTTCCGGGGCAGACTGAAAACTCATCTCTTTCGACTCCACTTCGAGCGATATAATTACTAACAAAGAATTGCTAACAAAGCACTTATATACTAATAGGACTGGCTTATCTAAAGCCAGTTGAGTAGCACTTTAAATGTTTTTGCTCTATGAAACCTGATGTACTTATATGATTCTGTTTTCTTCAAGTTTGTATCTTCTTGGTCGAATGCACTTATTGTAAGTCGCTTTGGATAAAAGCGTCAGCTAAATGCAATGTAATGTAATTGTGGCTGTTTGTGGATCTTTGCAGCAACAAGAGCAGTAAGGAGGAGACGCTGCTACAGAGGAAGACTGCAGCCAGCGCTCCTCCCCCCCCGAGTGAGGAGGCCATCAGCAGTACCTCAGAGGACGACTCCGAGGACGACCGCGACGACGACGGGTCCGTGTCTCAGCGCTCGACCCCCATCAAGCTACTCACAGAATCAGGAGAGAGCACTCGCACACAGGAGGTACTAAAAGTAATCTCATCAACAATGTCTGCAGATAGTCGAGATTATGTTTAGTAAACGTATGCACAGTCAAATTTAAGATCACTTCAAGGGTAAACACAAGTATGAATAATTCTAATGGTATTAATTGTTAAGGAGGAAACAAAGCTGCCTACCTAACATAATAATGTAATGGTTAAAGGATATGCAATCTCCTCTAAGTACCTCAGGGAAATGTCCTCGCAGTTCATCCACATGCTTTATTTTGGTCCTTTTAAAGCTTTCTGCTTTCCAAAATGAGTGTCACCCTAATTATATTTCTTCACTTCCCCCTGAGTCCCCAGAATAAATTAGTTCAGTGTTTCTGTTTGCGTCACTCGGTAGAGTAAACATTGACTTAATCAGCCTGTGGCATTAACTCCCAGAGATGAGGGTGTAAACGGCTTGTGTTATTGTTTATTTTATGGGAAAATAAAGAGAGATGGCACTGTCAAACTTTATCTTATGAAGTCTAAATGACAAACAAACATCACAGATTAGATACAAATCTGACCTTATTGCTGCTTTATATGCACCTCTCACTATATTGTTCACCCTATTCTATAACAGATTCCCAGGATGCGTCATTATCTTACAGCATCAGTATCTGATTTCATTCCCCAGGTGAACATCACACATTGAAAAATCTAATTTTCCCTTGTGGGATCAGTGAAATATATTTTTTTACCCAGATTCCATAATTCAGCAGAGAGCGAGCACATAATCAGCCCAGGTAGGGGTCAGTGTGGAAAGGATGAATCAGAAACACCAGAACATGAGAATGTGTGTTTTGGTGACTACCTTCTGTTCTAAACCCAAGTAGCTCTATGAAATGAGTTTTACTTTTTTCAACCGTCAAACCCCAGGCCCATTTCCCTGAGGATTGTGGGTAATTCAGTTATGAGTGGATCAGAAGTTTGAGCAGCGATAGAGATGTCGAACATTGCTCCACTCTCATCCTCTGACAGCAAGATAAATTAAAGTTGTTTTAAGCTCAAATCAGTATCACATTTTTTAAATCACATATTATGAAACTTCCACACAATGGAATGGGTTATGGATTATTAAAGGTTAACTTGTACCAGTATTGAGAGAAAGCTATAGATGGTAAAAGCTAAATGGCTCCTAGCTACAGTAATTGCTTGTGGATTTACCTAATAGTTACCGTACGTCCACCAAAATTGCTTGTTTTTCCCTTGAATAGGCCATCATTGTTGTCCTTGAGTGTCTGAACTCATGATTGAAAGGAACCTACATTAAAAATTCACAGGATTAACACCTTCAATCTCATTTGTTTTAATCAGTGGACAAACAGAAATGTAAAACCAAGTGGGGTTTTTTGTTAGTTGCCATTCATCAGATCACACAAGATGCTACAAAATTGCCCCCAAAAAAAGAATTAACAAAAAGAAATGGAGATAGTTCAACATGACCAGACTTGGAGGCAAAGTCTTCAGACTCCTGCTTCGTCCGTCTCTTTCCTCGACTGGTTTATGGTGTTTATTTCTGAAGCTTTTCTCTGCTCTTCTCTGGGTTTTGAACAGTGAGCTAGTCATGAATATTTCGGCCAGCTACTGTGTTGGGCGCATATCCCCCCCCCGCGCTCTCATGATCCCATGTCCTTCCTTGGAGCCGTCCATGAGAATGGATTGCCATAGTGCCAGCATAGAAGGACACTGTTGAAATATTTAAACATTAGATCATTACTATATGTTTTCCATGTAATTACATATGCTCATTTCATATACCCCTCAATATGGGCGTGCGTGCATGAACAGATTTACAATATGTTTTTGTGCGTTTGCATAAACAAGTATGTGTTTACACACACTCGTCTGTGCCCTCACACACCATATGAATGCTGCATTAGGTGTGTGTTTCCGTGTGATTGTGTGTTCACAGCTGTTGTTCACTAGACATGGCCCCTCATTCGTTCTCACCTCACTGCAGCTTGGATCAATACACATACAGTGGAAATGTAATGCATTACGTTGCAGTCATACAGTCAAAGAAATGAATGCCCTCTTCTGTGCATGCTGGTACATAACGAGCTTCTCTCTGTCTTATATAACTTTGATAGTAAAAATGTTTGTCTCTGTTAAATCATACTTGAAATACTGATAGCTTGGTTAGTCCAAAGCTACAAATCCCAGAAATGAGCAGAGACCTGCTTTACGATAATATTACCTTACATCATTTTGGCTCATTGTGATGAACTTTTCACTTATTATCTTTAAAACCACACAATTTTTCCCAGGTTTTATTCTTATATTCACTTTATTACAGAATGTTTTGGCTTTGTTGCATACATATGGGTCAGCAGTCATGACTGATAAATCACAGTAGATACAAAATATACAAAACATAATTTCCATCGTCATTGCCACACTTATTGTTAATTCCAGCCAGAATGGTCAATACATGCTTTGTGATATACATTTTTACATATTTGACAACACTTTCCACATATCACAATATACATTATATATACAAGGACCCAGGCTTTTTTGCAAACGACTGCTTTTGTACGTTTCTATTACTTTGTTTTATTATTATCACCTACGAAAGATCACCTCAATGGCACTTCTGTGTTAAAAAAAAAAAAAAGCCATAATATATAAGATCAGTTTTTACACTGCAGTAGTCAAACATGCTTAGTTGATCTGAATACTGCCAAGAAAAAGCTCCCAACCCCCAAATATAACACCATCTACGCAATCTCACACCGCACCACACGGTATGTATGTATTCATGCTGTTTACACACATTTCCCGCCCTCCCACCCGAGAACGGAAACTAATAATAATCCGACCATACAACGTTTTCTCACCTCTACGATCCTCTGGTTTTGGTGAGCACGTGTCCACTAGCCTCATGCTCCTGTAGGATCCGTTCTGTAAATCGCTCTGTGTTCCTCACGGATGCACTGAGCTGTAATCATATCACAACTCGCCTTGGGACGCTTAATGGATAACGGCAGTACTTAATACATATATTATGGGATGCTACAATGCACGATCAGTTTGGTATTTCGAGCCAAACACTTCAGAGACATGGTTTGTATATATCTGAGACCTATAATATATTGATGAAAAACTGTATCAAGGTTCAAGGTTTTTATTTGTCATACGAACATAGCTACAGTGTAGTTATGACGATGAAAATCTGAGGTCACAGGCTCCTCCAACAGTCAGGGGCGGATCTAGACAAATATTCATGGGGTGGCAAGAGGGTGGCAGGAGATTGAGAGGGGTGGCATCCCCTGGCAGAAGTATATGCTGATTTAATCGCAGTCATATAAATCAATGTTAACCTCTTAAACCCGAAGGTCCCCCCAGTGGACCCCTCCCACCGTTTTTTTACGAGACTATGTCTCAGGGCTTCTTAACATTTATGAAACTATTAATGTTTCATACCCTTTTAAAGGTAAGAAACTCCGCTAACTGACAATAAGAACAATTGTCAGCTAAAAAAAACACAAGAGTAATACCAAGCCTTTGAATTAGCATTGAGCGAAAAAATGCTAACTAATGCTAACGCTTTTTTACACAGAACTCACGGTAGAAATGCCCTTATTACTATCTTAACTGCACAAACAAGATATACGATTTAAAGCTGAGACTCCACAGATTCCACACATGTAATGTCATCACTGTCCGACCTCGAATTCCTGGAGTTATCAGCCAGAAAAGAGAAAGTAAACAACATCCGGTTTCAAAAATATTACAATAATTACGTCTTACCTTTTTTGATTTGTGATCAAAAGTTGTGTTCAACGGAATAAAAACGCCGCTCAAGGTTAATCCAATGTCTTTGTGTCACGTAGAAATTTTTACTGATGATCCGTCATCATATTTATGGCAATATACTGGGTATAAAGTTTTGCCGTCCAGGCTTGTACTTTCAAATATGTTTCGTTTGCTTCTCTATTACGTCCGCTAATCCGGTAATGTTTACGTAGATTTGGGAACTGCCCATCGATTCTATTGGATGTAATGGTTAAGAAAAAGGTGTAAATCACCCAAATCAACCAATGGGTTCCAGAGATATTGTCCTGCGTAAAGTATAAAGAATGCCAGCCAGCTTAAGTACATTACGCAGGAGACTTTACTTATTGTTTACTACGTAAGGAAGCAGGAATTGCAGCAGGACCGCTCTGAGCACGGAGCGGACAGAAGATAACGGAATTGCAGTTTTATTGCTTATAGATTATCAGAACATTTTAAAGGGGACACAGCCACATTGGATATTAATCTATGGATTAACTACATCATCGTTTTTATCGTTTTAATGCCATTGAAGACCAGTTTAGACCAGACAAAGAGGAAGGTAAGCCATGTTAGCCTAACGCATTAGCGCTAGCGCCATTTGTTTTGATGTACGTTTTTGTTTATTAACGTCGCGAGTTTGTATCTTTCAGTGTTGAGGTGGGCACCGTTAGATTCTGTGTCTTTACGATCATAAACAATGTGTTGGATGTGCAGCTAGGATAAGTAATAAGGGAGCTAGGAGTGATTTTCGGTGCAGTAATAGGTTAGCATTTTTCGCTCGGGGCTAATTCAGAGGCTCAGAGGATAACAGAGTAGGCCTATGTTTTATTTTTTATTTTATTTTATTTTTTCACAACAGTTGTATTTGGATGGAATGAATACCTATAGTGATAATTCAAAGTAATAAAATAATTTTTACAGTGAAAAAGTTCAAATGGAACTGATGGTTCCCAAATTACCCAGAGGTGAGTCCGCTTGGACTTTATTTTTCTAAACCTCTCTAAAAAGGTCAAATTTCACTTGTTTTGCATCAATCTTGATACAGGGTACTTATTATATGTTATAGTTTGGATTCCTAAAGCTTTTAGTCTACTAGCCCATCATTCAAGGGTGGTTTTCACTATAAGTAATGTTTTTTTTTTTAGGCGGACATTAGAATTTACATGTTTTTACTGTGTTCCATCTGAATTTACTTTAAAATAAAAAACATCTATATTGATTCTGACACTTCTACATCCAACTCACAGATGTAACCTTGCTTTGAGAGAAAAGATTATTAATTTACCCCTTTTAGAAGTGAATATATAGTCTTTGTTGTGTTAGTGGGATTTTCGAGCCTGAAACCTGAAAAACAGGCTCAGGGCTTAAGAGGTTAACTTGGAAAGCCACAATATTGATATTTTAACTCAATAACATTTGGTGACATTATTGTGGCACATCAGTAAAGCCTTAAATAGAAATATATAAGGTATAATTTAATGAATTTTAACTGAACAATAACTGAAGGAGTTATTTTCACTCTTAGAGCAGCAGGGGAACCAAATCTATGCAGACTGCTGCAATAAGTACATTAATTAACTGTCTCATCGATGTTTGTCTGTATGAATATGATAATATTAACAATCAAATTATTCCTATCAGCTGTCAATCACTGTTATGATTCACATACCCATTTGTTATTGAATAAACTATATTTTTTGGAGGAGTTAATGATGAATGTTCCCCAAGATGCTTGCTCACCCTCCTTCAAATTTTAAGTAATAACTATCATATACTGTATCAAAATTCAAAGGAACAGTTCAGCGCCCCACGACTTTATTGCAAACAGTTACAACCTTGACTTTACATCAGAAAGAACAAACATTAAAGAAGTGACTAACTGCATCAGTTAGGGTTAAAAAACGTGTATTCAGCTAAAACATATACATCGCTGCAGTTATTATCCAGTGGAAAGTCCTTACCTACTGGTCTAGTTAAATCAAAGTGGTTACTTTTTTTGGCTGGGCAGTGTAGTTTTACACACCGTCTTATTTGACTTTCTCAGGACTTAAAACTGTTTTTTTGGGGCAGACCCCCACAAAGGAAAACAATATATACACACATACAAGGTCATCATCTTAACAGTTGATTATGATCCTCCGTGAGCAGAGCATCGAGTTGGCATGCCTATTACATTACATTACATTACATTGCATTTAGCTGACGCTTTTATCCAAAGCGACTTACAATAAGTACATTCGACCAGGAAGACACAACCTTGAAGAAAACAGAATCATATAAGTACATCAGGTTTCATAGAGCCAAACATTTCAAGTGCTACTCAACTGGCTTTAGGTAAGCCAGTCCTTTATTAGTATAAAAGTGCTTCGTTAATAGTTCTAACGCTCGAAGTGGAGTCGAAAGAGATGAGTTTTCAGTTTGCGCCGGAAGATGTGCAAGCTATCTGCCGTCCTGATGTCAATGGGGAGCTCATTCCACCATCTTGGAGCCAGGACAGCAAACCCACGTGTTTTCGCCGATGGGAACTTGGGTCCCCCTCGCAGCGAGGGCGCAACGAGTCGTTTGGCTGATGCAGAGCGTAGTGCACGCGCTGGGGTGTACGGTTTAACCATGTCCTGGATGTAGGAAGGGCCAGATCCATTCGCAGCATGGTAAGCAAGTACCAGTGTCTTGAAGTGGATTCTAGCAGTTACCGGAAGCCAGTGGAGGGAGCGGAGGAGCGGAGTGGTGTGGGAGAGTTTAGGAAGGTTGAAGACCAGGCGAGCAGCTGCATTCTGGATGAGCTGCAGAGGACGGATGGCACATGCAGGTAGACCAGCCAGGAGGGAGTTGCAGTAGTCTAGGCGTGAGATGACGAGAGCCTGGACCAGAACCTGAGTCGCTTTCTGAGTCAGCTGGGGACGTATCTTCCTGATGTTGTAAAGCGTGTATCTGCCTATACAGCTGAATGTGGCGATTACCATGTTGTTCAACAAAACGCCTCACAAACTGATTAAGATCCAAAGCTTTAGTGCGTTTTGATTCAATGCTGAGTACAGCCAAACTTGACAGTCTCTTCTCTGTCATTGTAGACCGCACATACCTCATTCCTTCCATCTACCTGGGTCCGAATGCTTCTCCTTTTGCGCCGTGAAATTTGATAAATTAGATAAATAGATAAATAATTTCCAAGTAGCAGCCAGATGAATATTATGGATGTTGTTTCAACAGTTAGGTGTTTAACAGTCTTATTGCTTGTGGGATGACACTGTCCCTGAGTCTGGTGGTTTAATAGGGGACCTTTAAGATCATTGTGCAATAATGTATTTCCTACCAGAGCATAGCCTCATGATCAATGCCCCGTTTACAATAAATGTATGTCTTTTTAAAAAAATTTAAACTGGGTAATGACGGCAATTTCTCATAACACATTACTTTGCATATAAAATCCTCAGCTTGAACCGGTCTGACCTTTTTAATCTGATCTCCTGTTTGTTATGTTTAATATGTCCGTACGAAGACCCCCAGGAGGGCACTGTCCCCAAACACGAAGCCACCTCATCAGACACCAACAATCAGAGGACATTCATAGATGCTCTAATGACACTCCTTGGCTCTTCCTAAGTAGAGGATCAGTTGTAGGGAAGCGGCTGAACCTGATAACCTTGTCTTTGCGATGTTATGTCGAGTTGCAGTCAATTTGATTTGCGGTCAGCAAGCAGCTTCCCCCGCTGATGAGTTCTTTGTATTTCACTAACTATCCTTCTGAATTGGTTTGTGCTTTATTCACATGCACATAGCTTCTCACCTACACCCTTCTCACCTTTTCAGGAGATGCTGCAGCAGTCAGCTAAGGAGCCATATGGACTCAATCTTTCTGGGTTTCCTGCTGAAAAAGACCTGCTCATTTACGAAAGGTAATGATCACAACGATACTGGACTTTATATCAAACCTATAAACATTTCTAGTTGTTTTCCAAAGCTCCAACACTACACATTTACAGTATGTTTAATGTCTATATAACGTGGTCACTCACAACTTATACATGTTTTTTTTTACAATTTCTAAACAATGGACATTTCTAAACGTTGGGTTTTATTCAAATTGAATGATAGTTAGTGTCAAAAAACACGTTATTATTGACTAATTTCTGTGGTTAGCACCTTTAAAAGTTGCTCCAGATTTCCCTTAGAACAGAAAATTAGTGTCTATAAATCTTTTAAGTTATGAAATGTAATTCACCATTAGAAAATAATGTTGTACTAGTTGAGTTGTAGGTGCATGATGAATGTAGAGACACAATCCAACACTACAGCTCAGGCATGTATTCTGCCTTTACATAGATAATAAGGTTCAGTGTTGATTGACACTGTCAGAGAGGCTTCCATTTAACATTGAATGTTTATCATGTTTCATACCTAAGTACTCCAACTGCCGTCTGTTCATGTGTTTGTTTGGCCTTCAGCGCTCAGTGTGTAGCATGTTTTTTGACACCATGCTAAAGCATACATCTTGAGGAAAGTGCTTTCTCTTTATTGCAACGTGCCTTTAACTCAGAGGGGGGGGGGGAGGCTGTCAGCTTCAGCAGCCCCTCAGGGTGATGTCGGACATTGTCTACTCTGACCTGCTGTTTGCATCTCATCTCTGACATTTCTGCTTTCTGTCCGCCTCTCTCTTCCTTCACCTTGGTTTTATTTTTTCCCCTGTCCTTTCTGACGCATTATGTAATTTCTCCCTGTTTGTTCCCAACCTTGTTGATGCTATTGAGCTTTTGATCCACAGTGAAATGCCGTCGTCAGGCTCTGAACATGAACACAACTATCTGTGCTGTGCAAGTAAACGCCACATCTGTTACAGTGCGATGCATTTGATGGTGCTGAAATAGCTTCAACACACTGAAGATAATTGGTCCAGGGAATTATTTTGGTACTCGCTGTATGACCCTGTTATTAAAGCAATATCAACTAGATGAATTGTGCACATGCACGTTTCAGCAAATACATGCACATATTATAAATGAATTATAAAGCATGGCAAACTTTTTATATTGAACATTCTTGTTTGCAATACAAACAAATACAAAAAAATAGTTGTTTTGCTTTTGATCCCTTAAGATTAAAAGGAAGTTTTCCTTTCTGTGTCGGTTTCTGGAAAATAGTTTTTTTTTTCTGTATCTTTTTAACTTTAATTATGACCCCTTGGACTTTGCTGACATCTTTTGGGGGGGTTGTCCAGACCCCACACATAGGGTTTTCATGACTAATATAGAGAGTTGGAATGCACTTTTGAAAAGAAACCGGTCTATCGATAAACACCAGACATGGAGCGTACGTCTCAATGCTTTGCATAAAGTGTCCTTGCTCTCTAAGCTATTATGTCCAAATGTACTGAAGGCTTCTATTTGAGAATTGATCTCTGCATGTGTAGAGATGTAAGAGATCAGATATGAAAGAGCAAAGACAGACAGGTAAACAAATAGATAAACTAACATTCCCACATTTAAAAAGGTTTAACTAACGTCTTTAATGTCAGGCACAATTGGGTAGCGTGATTGAAGCAGGGACTAGTCAAAATAAATCCAATCCAAATTGCCATGGAGAATATTGTTCATACCTTCCTTCCACATAATGAGAATGAAAACACATTTATTATTGAGGCACGCAGTTGGAATGGCTCCAAAGATGTTAGCTGCTGAAAGCTCTGCTAATCAGCGCATTAATATTAAAACAAATTATAAAAGCAAAAGCCAGAGGGGAACTCTCAACTGTTGCATATTATTGTGTGTTTGCGAGGGAAATAACCTGCGGGGAAATTTAAGATTTAATGACTCCAAGATCTTGACAAATACATTTGTCTGAGTATTTTTTATTGAAAATGTATATTATAAACTTAAATTAAAGGGTCATTCAGAAATGAATTACACTGTTGCCTAATTACATTTTGTTAATGGCTTTTGATAAAGCATATGCGAACATGACACGTCCCACAGGGGAGTTCGCTTGGGCCTTTGTTGTATTCTATATTCACAAATGACCTTCCTTACGTATTAAATAAGTCCAGTGTAATAATGTATGCTGATGATTCCACAATGTACAGTACAGCATCAACATACAGTGAGTTAAACTATCTACTTAAAATAGAGATTAAAGCCATAGCAGACTGGGTCAACAATAACAAACTGGTACTCAACATTGCAAAAACAAAAGCAATGGTGTTCGGATCCAGACACATGTTAAGCAGCAATCCTCATTAAGCCTGACGCCGGCTGGTCAGCCAGTGGAACAGGTAAACGAGACTAAGTTGCTTGGCATTGTTCTTGATTCTGGTTTACGGTGGGAAAAGCAAATTGACAGTATTGTAACTAAAATGGGAAGGAGCATAGCTGTGGCGAGAAAATGTACAAAGTATGTAACACCAACCACTTTGAAACAAGTAATTCAGTCTCTGGTTTTGTCACATCTTGAGTACTGTCCGGTCATATGGTCATCAGCAGCAAAAACACATTTACAGAAATTACAAATAGCTCAAAACAAGGCTGCCAGACTAGCTCTCCATTACATTACATTACATTACATTTAGCTGACGCTTTTATCCAAAGCGACTTACAATAAGTACATTCGACCAGGAAGACACAACCTTGAAGAAAACAGAATCATATAAGTACATCAGGTTTCATAGAGCCAAACATTTCAAGTGCTACTCAACTGGCTTTAGGTAAGCCAGTCCTTTATTAGTATAAAAGTGCTTCGTTAATAGTTCTATCGCTCGAAGTGGAGTCGAAAGAGATGAGTTTTCAGTTTGCGCCGGAAGATGTGCAAGCTATCTGCCGTCCTGATGTCAATGGGGAGCTCATTCCACCATCTTGGAGCCAGGACAGCAAACCCACGTGTTTTCGCCGATGGGAACTTGGGTCCCCCTCGCAGCGAGGGCGCAACGAGTCGTTTGGCTGATGCAGAGCGTAGTGCACGCGCTGGGGTGTACGGTTTAACCATGTCCTGGATGTAGGAAGGGCCAGATCCATTCGCAGCATGGTACGCAAGTACCAGTGTCTTGAAGTGGATTCTAGCAGTTACCGGAAGCCAGTGTCAAAGCGCACTCATATTGGAGTTATGCATAGAAACCTATCATGGCTTCCGGTTGAGAAACGTCTGCAATCTCGTGTTATCACTTTTCTAAAAAATGTCCAATTTAGCAAAAGACCACTGTATTTTTATGATCAAATAGTTTACACAAGAGATGAGCATGACCATAAGACTAGACAAGCTACATCAGGCCATCTACTGGCACCTAAACCCAGGACACATCTTCTGAAATCTTCTGACTTATAGAGCTATAATGGAATGGAACTCATTGCCAAACTACCTTACTGAAATAGAGTCCAGAGCCTCTTTCAAGAAGAGATTGAAGGGCCATCTACTAATGACCATGTACCCTTGTGAGCTGTGAACCCTAATTTAATTTGATCGCATGTTGTTGATGATATTGGTGATGTTTTTAATGTTGTTAATGATGTTAGGACTTATGTCCTAGATGTTGCTGTATTATTGTTGTATTATTGTTGTATTGTTTTAAGTGTCGGACCCCAGGAAGAGTAGCTTTTGTCGAGAGCAAAAGCTAATGGGGATCCTTAATAAACATAAACATAAACACCTGATCAGTTTGTGCATAAACTCTTTTTGCAGTAATATTTGTCCTTTTAATTTAGCATCTTTCTTCTTCTGCAGGTTTGCACATCTGGGCGAGAGCCAGCACAGGGTGGAGAGAACGGAACACATAAACTCAGCAAACATCATCAGCTTGTGAGTAAAACATGTGACAAATGAACCCGAACACACCAATCACAGTCATTTATCCTCACTCACGTGTGATGTCAAGCCTTATGTTGCATTATGGGCTTGTTGTTATCCAACTCTTTTTCAAATATCACTCAACATTCCTAGCAGGCAAGTCAATGTTATCTATATGGCCCAATATCACACATTCACAAAGGGGGCTTTACATCAGTACAGCAAAAAGACACCCTCTGGTTTTTTCTACACTTGCTTAGGATGAGGGTTTTCAAGCATTTGGACTACCTATGTTGTAAATGTATTATCTTTTCAATTTGCACACGGCATCTATTGCACGTGTGTCCGTCCAGGGAGAGGGATCCCTCCTCTGTTGCTCTCATCGAGGTTTCTTCCATTTTCCCCCATTATCTGTGGGGTTTCTTTGGAAATTTTTGTCTTGTCCGATTTGTGAGGGTCCAAGGACAGAGGGTGTCTTATTCATGATCTGTACAAATTGTAAAGTCCACTGAGACAAATGTAACATTTGTGATGTTGGGCTATATAAATAACCATTACAGGGTGTCCGCGGGGTCTTAAAAAGTATTAACAGTTGATAAATCAATTTATCGAAAATTAAGGCTATTAAAAAGTATTAAACGGCATTTTCCAAGGTATTAAATGTTATAGCTTGTTTTCAATAAGTATTTAAATTGTCCAAAGAGGTTGTATTCTACAGTCTGCCTGAACGTAATCATTGCGTAGGTGTGTAGTGTGATTCTGTGTAGCTTATTTATGGCATCCCGTTGGATTTGACGTCATCTGAACAGGACATCGCACGCTCACTGCTTGATAGCGCGAAGGTCCGTTTACGCCGGTTGTCAAACAACATCGTTATGGGGAAATGCAAGTTTGCGTCCAAATGGTTGGAAGATAAGGAGGAAGGACAATCAATACTGTATATAGTCAATGTGAGGTAAAGTGTGTCGCCAATGTAACCGTTTAAAACTCATTGTCTTAAAATGTATGGAAAGGGTCTTAAAAGGTATTACATGTGACTTCAGGATTCCTGCATATACCCTGCATTGATTGATTGATTGATTGATTGATTGAAACATTTGAATAGGGAAGAAAAGCTCAGGAGGAACAACAGTGGAGGGATCCTTCTCCTTCGATGTACAGGGCAATAGATGTGTGTACAGAAAAGACAAACAAACACATTACAATCAAGAAATTATTGTATTTGTAATTATTGTAAACGGTTCTTCAAGGAGGATGTCAAGCAGCAGAGATCCAAATTCAACATGTTGAATGAGGCACTGACAGAGAGTTCCCAGGATGTCCCATCAGCCTTACAGCAGTTAAACACAATTGATGCACTGAGTGGTCTCAGAGGAGCCGTCTAGTCGTGCACTTTTTTATCTCCATCTCTGCATCCATGCTGCAGCCGTGTCACAGCAAGCATTATTTTCTCCAGCGGTTGCACAACCTGACCACACGTGCCATGGCGATGTGCAGCCACACAGATGCATTAGTAATTTCCCTCTTTGTCTTGCTCTCTTTCTTTCCAGCTCCCACTCTCACTCTCACTATTCCCAGAGAGCATTGAGAATATATAGACTTAGTATGTATTTCAATCACAGGCTTTCACGAGAAGATTCAGAAGGAGGTGGTTTAATTGTTTGGTTCGAAAGAATACATCCAGAAGGCATGGATGGAACATGAAACAGAAATTGTTGAAATGTTACCTGTACAGAGTTAAAAATGGTGTGGAGAGAAGACAATGATATACCTGTGGTTCCTTCATGTTGTGCTGCACTTTGCTACGTGAATGCACAGTTAGAGACAGTGTTTAGAGGTGAAGAGAAGATTTCTTGAAGAGGGCAACTATGTCTAGAAAGCCAGATGGAGCAAATGATCACTGTTCAAAAGAAGAAATGTTGAAGGTCATGTGAAATGTACACTAACTGGGCGGAGAACACTTGGTCAAAACTGTCCAGGAGTTCACAGGAGGTCTAGTGACTTTAAAAGTGTGTTTGGCTTTGTTTTTCTATCACGCCGCTCTTTAAACACATGGCTTTCATTTTCTTTACATAATATGTTTTCGCAAAGGAAATGCCATTTACAGTATAATTGGTTTTGTATGCATGTCACACAGGAGGCAGACTGAGAGTAGGGCTTAGTGTTCACCAGTTACCTCGGTCAGCAGGGACTCCTAACGTCTCTTCATCCTTTTACATCTCTCCTGGTCCGCCTATATGTTTACCTTTCATCTCTCTGGCCGTTCATTGGTCCGTTTCTCTGATCCTCGTGTCAGGCCCACTGGGTCCACGAGCCAGGTGTTTCTTCTGTTGTGCAACAGTGCTATTCTCAGACTGTTATGACACCCTATTCCCTTTTTTTCACCTTTTGGAGCCCTCTGGTCCGACACCTCCCTCTGTGTGGTTCCTCTATTGAGGACGGATAGGCAAAGCTGGAGATAAAGCGGAAGTGTTAGGAATACAGATTCCTGTTGAGAGCCTCAGTGAGCTGTGCTAATTTGTTTCCGCTTCAAATTGTAATCAGCTTATAAGACACAGTTCCAGATGAATGGACAGCCGTGACCAATATAGTGTTTTCACGTGTGATACAAGTGCTATCAAATATTTTACGCAACCTATATTCATTATTAGACTTATGTTACCTAATTAGACTTATGTTACCTAATTAGACTTATGTTACCTAATTAGACTTATGTTACCTAATTAGACTTATGTTACCTAATTAGACTTATGTTACCTAATTTAATTCAAAAGATAAACATCTTCATCATCTTGTATGTAGCCAACACCCTAACCAGCCTTTCTGACCTTGTTAGAGCTTTAATAAACATTAAAGGAATACTTAACGAAATGACAATTTGTATATCATCTAGTCAGCCCCATGTAAGAGTTGTATGAGAGTTTGTTGATGGATGTTTAGACTCCCCCCCATTTATATCAATTTATCGGAACTTCTCTCATTTTTCTCTCATGACCGTGGATTCAAGCATTTTCTTCAAGAGATGAGTAAATTATGTATAAAGGATCCTCTGCGGGGGTGAATTACTCCTTTTAAAATCACTCGGGGACTCAATAATGATACTTACTGTGTTAGTAATTTATGTCAAGGCCTCTTTGATTTACCAGAGCTTGTGTTGTGGATTTATTACAGCCCATAATGAGGGGGCTTCATTTGAAATGCAGCGGTGTGTCTGAGCAGCAGCTGCTGCACTGAGTGGATAACTTGACCTGCTAATAATCCACCCTACAGAGAATGAGACATGCTTTCTCGTTCCTGCTAGGAATATATGTAATTCTCCTGCAAAAGCAGCCATTGACTCACTCTCTCCAGCTGCTTTACACAAGATGTTGTTAGATTAAAACATTTTTCCAGTCCTTGGTACTCTTTTTGACCAGCAACAACTGTAGGTTACCATGGCTTCGTGCTCCACCACCACTTGAATTGTCCAAATTGAGTTATTCACTAAATCATTATCTTTTTTCCCCCCCCTGTCCCTGTCTCTCAGAGAGCCGGTGTCCTGCTTCCCGGAGGACAGCATCTACAGCGTGTCCCCCCCCCAGGTGGTCAGGGACAGCCGCGATGAGTTTGAGAGCCATGTGATGACGGGGGAGGGCCAGGTGAGGGTGCTGTGCAGGGAGGACATGATGATGTACAGGGAGTACGTCAAGAACAGATACATGTGAGACACGGACACTATGCAGATCATCAAGCAGGGAGTAGACTGTCCATAGTGAAGACAATGGTGCATGTACAGCCTAGGTGTCATGTACAAGTACTAAACCATGCAGGTTTATTTGTATTTGTAATCTAAGTAATGTGTTTTCATAGCTTCAAACATGATGTGCCTCAACAAGCTGCCTACAGTATGTGGTGCTTTCTTTTTGTTCTGTGTGTCATTTTCCTTTATTTACATTTTAGTTACAATTCTTTTTTTAAATTCTATTCAATTATATGTATATTTTGAACATGTCAAAATAATTAGAATTGTTTGTTTTTTCAGTATTATGATTTTTTTTAATGCTGGATCCATCCCTTCATATTATAATGCTTTAAATTCCACCTCAGAGATGTTTTTTTTATTAATTCTGTTAAAACATAGCGCCATGCCTGGGATGTATTTTGTTGTTGTTGTTTTAACCTCTCAAAAACGATGTGGATCAACAAATGTCATTATGTAAGTCATACATGTAATGTAAATGTGTATCCAGGTCATTTGCCTTTTTCTTTTGTCTGCCTTTTATATTGTGCGTTTTATCCAACCTCGTCCTTAGTTTACAAAAGCGCACACTGATTTAGTTTTGTCTAAATGCATTTTGACATGTCAGATGATATTGTGTACAGTAGTTCTAAATTAAACATTTATTTCTTAACAACATGTGACAGATTTGATTCCTTTTAGGCACTTTTCTCCTACTTTTATGTTTGTGCTCGATTTTGTTCACTAAAATTGATTATTATTCCTTTCCTGCGTCTTTATAATTGTCCTCATCACTCCCGCCCACCTCTTCTGTCTCCCTCACGTTTGTTTTACACTCATTACTCACCCTTTTCCCCATTGTTCTGTCGATCACACTTTCTCTCTGCACCGTCACACTCTTAGCGCTCCGCTTTCAACCACAGGCGTCAGAAGATGGGAAATGTGAGGAATACTGTCTTTCCTGTAATGCACACACACATTCAACACAATGGCTGAACATTGGTTTCTGCTTCAGGGGGGCTTCAGCATGTCATGTGTACAACAGGGAATTCAAAAAACACTCTCACTGAATTGTTAAACCTAATGAACTCAAGGGAGTATGGAGAAAACGGGACATGAATGGAGTGCTGGGAAAAGACTGCAATACAGATACAGTAGCTGAAATGTAGAATTGACCATCTCTCTTAAAGAGAAGCGAGTGTCCATCCTCTCTGTGTGCTTTAGGCCCAAAGAAAGGTGTAGTGAGTGTGTAAATGTTTTATGTACACAGCATATATAAGGGATGGCTTTATTTTTCCCTTTACCTATATTCTATTGGTTTCCCACCACCCTTACATATTGGATACAGGTGCAGACCTTTATTACATAAAATCTAAGGACATTTAATAGATGGATTAGAGATTTTGGGAGGGGGATTTTGCCTCTTTATTGATACATGGTTGCTTGTTAGTAATGTTTATTCAAATATTAGAACAAAGGTTTTTGACATTATTAAGATCTTAATGAATTTGTATGCTTCTAACGGTTGTAGTCCAACGTAGATATCATGGGAATCATTTTTGTCAAATAATTTCTGTAGTACTGTATCTCCCTTCATATAGCTCCAAATGCTGTGTTCTTATTTGTTTTAATTTTCCTAATCATATTTACAGACATTGACTAAGTAACATCTGTGTAACTGTTGAACATTGTTGAACACAAACTTACCTTAATTTATACCAAACATAACAATGGATTCAATTAGGGGTGCACCGAATGGGAAATTCTTGGCCGAAACCGATACCGAAAATAGGAAACAGTTGGCCGAAAACCGAATGCCGAAAGGCCGAAAATGATTAATAGAAATATATATATATATATATATATATATATATATATATATACATTGGTAAAAAATGTATACATTATATATATATATATATATATATATATATATATATATATATATATATATATATATATATATATATATATATATATATATATATATAATGTATACATTTTTTACCAATGTTGTTCAGCTACCTGATTATGGAAATAGACATGATTATGGCAAAACTTAACTTAAATAATAATCACTATTATGGGTCCATAAAACATTTATTCAGCACTTTTGAATGCATACAGTACATTTATATATGTCATGTATTATTGCTAAAAAACATTATATCGCAGTCTTAGTGTCGCCAACTCGTTTCTAATATGCAAAGACAACAAATGCGTCTATGATGTATTTTCGATCAGACGAGATCTCTCTCCCCCGTCTGTGTGCGAGGGGGCGGGGCAGTTTACACACACGCAGCTGCTACATGCAGCGGAGCACACTGCGGAGATGGCGGAGAGAACGCGCTCCGAGGTGTGGTTAAACTTTACCCGTCTCGATGTGGAGAATACTTGTTACCATAAGTGCAATAAGAGTTTAGCATGTAAGCACGAGCAATTTGTCTAAACATTTAGCAAAAGTGCACCGCATGCAGACGGAGGAATGTACCGGGTTCGACCGTCTTTCTAGCAGCTCTGTAGCCCCATCCACGAGTAACGTTTCCACGTCAGGTGTTATGTATGCTAGCAGCAACACACGGAGTTAACTACATGATACAAACATGGGTTAATGATTAGAGGTAACTGAGTTATTTAGTTTGTTAAAATTTCAGCTATTCTGTTTACAATCTGTTTACAACCTTTTTAACCATTTTCGGCCGATAATTTTCGGTGGCCGAATATTCGGTGCATCCCTAGATTCAATGGTGCAAGTGAACAAAAGAAACACAAACAAAATCACTTGAATATGACATTTTGAATGAAAATACAACATTGTTATAATAATAATTATCATTAAATGTAGGTTATGATATGCAGAGGCAGTATAACGCTACAGTAGTTGAAGTGCAGTGGGTCAGACACTTTTATCAGATTTTGTGACTATTCTTTTTGTGAGCAATCCACTCTCCACCCTTTTCAGAAGTAATAACGTGTGTGTGGGTGTTTCTAAATGGTTAAAACTACTTATCTTGAGAGAAAAAGTAGACGTTTGTCAGCAGATTCATGCTTTTACAGTAAATGTGTCCCTGCCATGTTCTCGTCAGCTTTCACAGATACTTTTAATCTGGTTTTCCTCCTCCTCTCCTACCGCCCAGCGTTTTACCGCCTTTCAAACCACATCCATCTTCTTTCCCTTACCATCTTCCATAACAAGTATTTTCTTTGTTTCTTCTGCTTATTAAAATACCTTTTCTCCAGGGTCGCTACAAGGGTTTTAAAGTAAAGGTTTGTTTGTGAACGAGCACGGGAGCGCATGTGAAAATGAGAGCAGTGTTGTCTCTGTTTGCAGGGCAGGGGGACTGTAGGCGGCTGTTTTGGTCTTTTATGTAAGACCCTGTTTTTCTCATGTTTTTATGTTCCTAATGGCAGGTGTCTCATTACATTGAAACCTCTCGGCTCACATGGGTATGAATGAATAAATGCATCTGGTCACTGATATATTTTTGGGTGCAGCTTTGTTTTTGGTCGTGATCACAAAAATAACTGAATGTTTGTGTGGTGCATCGCTTCTGTTCAGGTGGAAAATGTAATTAGTTTGGTTTAACCCATCATGGAAAACAATCAAATGATTCTAAGATGTATTTTGGTCCTCAGCGGTTTGACTAGGTCCCTGAAATGAGTCGCTTGGCACTTAATGTGACCCCTTAGCTTATGAATTAAGACAACCTCTTCTCCACTGACAAAGGTGGCCAAACAGCTGTTGCCTGCAAACCAAAACTGGTTACCATATTGCTGCTTTGAATCTCCCCTTACCTCCTTCTGTATCTCAACATCTCATCCATTGTCATATGACATTTCATTTACCTGGTGTTTCAGACTTACGTTACATGCTGCTTTTATGGTTCAACAAGATGGCAACCATCTATATTTCATAACATTGACATGAAAGGTATACATTGAAGTTGTCAGTTTGCTTATTTCAGTCTTTGTATCATTATTGTTGCTCTTTTAGGCAATTATAGAGAAAGTAGAGATCCTTCTCATAACATAGTTTTACATTCAGGGACCAAAACCGTTAAAGGAGCTTAACGACATTCAGAGTCGTATAAACGCCGTGCACATTGGCCCTTTTAGCTGGCCAGTTGTAAATAAAGGGAATGTTTCCCATGAGCATCCTCTGCTCAAAATGCCATTATTCCATAATATATTTAAATACCAAATACCTTTTTAATGCTCTGAATGTTGTTTAATGTCTGTTGAACTCTGAAGTTTAACTGCTATTGAAGATGCCAGTTGAATTTACAAATAAGCCCCCAGTGGCCAAAAGGGTGGAATTACAACTCCCTTCTTACTACTTCTTCTTAATGAATTCCATAAAGCATCTAATTATCTCGCTTTTATAAAACATGTAGTTCCTACATTAAGACCAGTGCCTAAATCAGAGTAAATTCCCTCTGCCCAACGAACTGCTGCTCAGAAAACCAGCTTGAACTGACTCTGGCCGCCTGGATGCGAAACATACTGGTATAACATTTTATACCTGGCAATAAAACTGTGTCTCAGTGCCAGTGAGCAACTCATAGGACTGAACAGGAGCCGCTGCATCCAGCCCCCTTTATACATCCCAAGTTGCTATAGCAACAGCATGTTAATCTGAGACTTGTTGCTGATCACAAAAAGGTGAAGGTTGATATTGGTTATTCCTGCCAATAAAATACCCACTGTCAAATATCATGTTTAATGGCTTTATTTTTTAAAGAATTTTACTTTTCACTGTAAAGGAAAAGAGCAAACCACACATGGAAAACCGTGTGGCACTAACTCTCTTCACTAAAATCCCACTCTTGTAAGTGAAATAAATAAATAAAATCTTGAATCCTGGCACTGATTCAGTGTGAAAACTACTTGTATTGTTTTAATTAAAAAACATATGGAGAACTTTACAGCTGGCTTGTTTACATTTTTCTATTGAAGCTCAGATTCTGCCTTGAAATTAGCCAACCTTTTCTTTTTTTTTGCTCCACCTATTCAGTATGAAACTGGGATAGGCTTTGCAAGTATTGATCTAAGCAAAGTGCATGATTGAAAAATGACTAAACTGACTTAAAAATAAGAAAATCTCGCTTTTAAAGACAAGTATCTCAGTGAATGGCTTGTTTTAACCCTTTATTCCCCAAAACCTGATGCCTATAACTAACTAGGACTTGTTTTGTTGGCTTTTTCCCCTCAAAAAGTGACCAGAGATAGACCGTGGTAAGATAAAAAATGACCAGGAGAGAACTGAAGGCAACTGAGGAAGAAGCCGGAGTTGTTGTTTCATTTCCCAAGTTCCAAAGAAATCGAGATCGCTGATACCAGGGAAAGAGAGAGAAAATAGAGACATCAAAAGTCTCCATCTCTCTCTCTTTCTTCTCTCTCGCGCGCTTTCTCTCGTGACGTAAGGCGGATTTAAAGCCTCCCTCGCGCTTCTCCCGTCAGTCCCTTCTCGCGCTCCTCACATTCACCTCCCTCTCCGAGCAGAACGACGGCCAATGCTTCACACTGCCGCTGCCCTGCGTGTCTGTCCCCTGCGTGGGAAGCACAACAAAACCAAGGGCTTCACTTGAGACGGTGCACAGGAGCGAGATAAAAAGGAGACGGCAGTCCTTCTGCAATTCATTTTACACTTTCACTGTCTGCCACCGGACGAGGTGCTC